CAGAGGTCGAGTTTCAAAAAGTGCACGCCGTTGTGGCGCGAAGCACATTTCGAAGTCGAAATGTGCAAAACACCAGGGGTTCGGACCACTTTTGGAGGCTGAGATGTGGAGTTTCCAAAAAGTGCACGCCGTTGTGGCGCGAAGCATATTCGGAAGTTAAAATGTTAAAAACAGTAGGGTTTCGGACCACGTTTGGCGGTGCAGAGGTTGCTTCGCTTCAACTGCACCTACAAGTAAAAGTACACAACAACACTACACGACATGTACTACTACACCAAAGATAGACAGGTAGACAGCTAGACAGATAGATAGATAGATAGACAAGAGTGAGAGAGAGCATGGGCCTTTCGGTCCAGCAGTGGCTTCGCTCTGTCATCTCTGATTCACATAGAGAGAATTGAAGCAATGGATACACAGATAAACAGATAGATAGACAGAGAGATAGATAGATGGATAGAAAAAGTGACAGGGTGACAGGCAGATAGATACATTGATCGACCGCTAGATCCATGGATAAACACAAAGATGCAGCAGGGAGGAGCTCCACACTGGTATTGGAAAGTGGCATGAAACAATAAAGGCGGATTGTTTGAGTCACTAGATCTTGTTCGTCACGGTTGGATGAGTCACTGTAGGTTTTCCGATCGCAGTACGGTGCCGCAGCATCTGTAAGGTTTGACACGGTAATGCATTCCTGGGCCTTTTGCTGGTCATTGCGCACAAGTTTACACGGAATTCGTTGCAGGCCAGCGTGCGTGTCTTTTCTGACCGCACGATGGCGTATCAGCATCCGTAATTCATTGCACGCGTCAGCATCCGTAATTCGTTGCACGCCGAAGATGCCTTTACCCCTAAATCCTTCAACCTTAAGATCCCTTCAACCCTAATTCCTTTAACCCTAGGGGCCCTTAACCCTAAAATCCTTTAACACTAAAATCCTTCTGACCGCAGGATGGCGCAGCAGCAGTTCGAATTCGTTGCGGGCCAGCGTGTGTGTCTTTTCTGACCGCACGATGGCGTATCAGCATCCGTAATTCATTGCACGCGTCAGCATCCGTAATTCGTTGCACGCCGAAGATGCCTTTACCCCTAAATCCTTTAACCTTAAGATCCCTTCAACCCTAATTCCTTTAACCCTAGGGGCCCTTAACCCTAAAATCCTTTAACACTAAAATCCTTCATGCCTAAGCCCATTGAACCCTAAGACATTTGAACCCTTCAATCCTTTAACCTTAAGATGCTTTTAGCCCTAAATCCCTGTAACGAATCATTGTAATCCGAACATGATTTAACACTAGACTCTAAAGCCTTTTAACCTTAGCCCCCTTGAACCCTCAAATCCTTTAACCCCAAAGAAGCTTAACCGTAAAGCCTTTAACCATGAATCCTTTAGCATCCGTAATTCATTGCACGCGTCAGCATCCGTAATTCGTTGCACGTCGAAGATGCCTTTACCCCTAAATCCTTTAACCTTAAGATCCCTTCAACCCTAATTCCTTTAACCCTAGGAGCCCTTAACCCTAAAATCCTTTAACACTAAAATCCTTCATGCCTAAGCCCATTGAACCCTAAGACATTTGAACCCTTCAATCCTTTAACCTTAAGATGCTTTTAGCCCTAAATCCCTGTAACGAATCAGTGTAATCCGAACATGATTTAACACTAGACTCTAAAGCCTTTTAACCTTAGCCCCCTTGAATCCTCAAATCCTTTAACCCCAAAGAAGCTTAACCGTAAAGCCTTTAACCCTGAATCCTTTAGCCCTAAGATGCCTTTACCCCTAAATCCTTTCACCCTAAGATCCGTTTAACTCGACAATCGTGTCGCCCTTCTCTGACAATGCGAAGACACATTAGCACCCGGAATTCATTGCAGGCCAGCGTAGCAGTGTAGGGGGCTTCATGACGGTGTAGCATTACATGATAGCTGTCGTTCCAATCTGTTTTGATAAGCGGGTTTATGAACATGTCCATGTAATGATACAAAAGGGTCTTTCAATGTGATGTGCATGATTTCTTCATGTCTGTTTTTCGGATCATAGATGATGAGAATGTATTCTGTTTTCTGTTATGTTAACACGATCGGATCTGTTGACGCTTTATTTCCGGAATAGGAAAGTTGTATCAGTACGCGGTTCTCGTTCGGTCTTGTGAAATTGAAGAATTCAGGACGATGTTGGTTGTACCATTACATCCTGTGTCAACGCTGGGGGTCAATGAACATGTCCATATGATTGTATTCATGCGCCGCATGGATCACGTTGAGCTTTGCATTTTTAGACATGTCCATTACCGAACGTGTTTTCATGGTATAGACACCACCAGAAATGATAATGTTTAGGACTGTGTTTGAATGGCGTGTTGCTTGTTGTCGGAAGACTGAGAACTATTGGAAATGTTTTGTTCTATGTGACCTGGTTGATGCGTAATCCACCTGGTTCTATGTTCTATGTGACCTGCATTTTACTGATGGCATGTTTTTTTTGTAAGAAGAATCCAGAGAACGGATGGGTTCATCGAAGGAAGTTTAGAAGTCAAACTTCCGACAATATGGAGAGATGAAAAGCAGAGCAGGGCAGAGGCAGAGAGAAGAGGAAGATTAGAAGAGAGAAGATCAGAAGAGAAAGAGTAAGAAGACAGAAGATGCAGATGCTCGAAAAGGTAGGAAAGTCGCGAAACACCGTGTTTTTCCAATGATTTGTGGCTCCGGAGGGTCGAAAAGTAGGCTCGCTAAAGCGGCGGGTGCGGAGCCAGCTGGCCAGCAAGAGATGAAAAATTGCACGCCGTTGTGGTGCGAAGCACATTTTGACGTCAAAATGTACAAAACACAGCATTCTCGGACCACATTTGGAAGTTGCGATGTCAAAAAGTGCACGCCGTTGTGGCGCGAAGCACATTTTGAAGTCAGAATGTACAAAACACACCATTCTCGGACCACCTTTGGAAGTTGTGATGTCGAAAAAGTGCACGCCGTTGTGGCGCGAAGCACATTTCCAAGTCAAAATGTTCAAAACACCAGGGGTTCGGACCACTTTTGGAGGTTGCGATGTCGAAAAAGTGCACGCCGTTGTGGCGCGAAGCACATTTCCAAGTCAAAAGTGTTAAAAACTGCCGGTCTCGGACCACTTTGGAGGTTCAGATGTCGAAAAAGTGCACGCCGTTGTGGCGCGAAGCACATTTCCAAGTCAAAATGTTAAAAACTCCAGGGTCTCGGACCACTTTTGGAGGTTCCGATGTCGCTTCGCTTCGCTTCATTACACTACACTACCTTACACTACACTACACTCCACTACACTACATTACACTACATTCCACAACACTACTACTACAACTACACAACTACACAACTACATTGCACTACACTCCACTACACTAAATTACACTCCACTACACTCCACTACACTAAATTACACTACAGTACACTACACTACACTCCACTACACTACACTACATTACACTACATTCCACTACACTCCAGCACACTAAATTACACTACACTACAATACACTACACTACACTACACTACATTCCACTACACTCCACTACACTACACTACAACTACAACTACACAACTACACTCCGCTACACTCAAGTACAGCACACTACACTACATTACGCTACGCTACACTCCACTACACTACACTACATTACACTACACTACCTTCCACTACACTTCACTACATTACACTACACTACATTCCACTAGATAGATAGGTAATTAGATGAGAGAGAGAGAGCGATAGATAAATACATAGATAGATCGGTAGGTAGGTAGGTAGATAGTCAGAGAAAAAGAGAGAAAGAGAGGAGACCTCAAGCACCTTTCGGTCCGTCAGTGGCTTCGCTCTGCCATCCCTGATTCACAACAACCAATCTCTCCTATAGGTTTCCTATTTTTGAAACTTCCGCCACCGCCTTGTGCGGTACTACTGGTAATTATATATAATTATATATAATTAACGTATGGATCAGAGGTATGGAACAGAGGTATGGAACAGAGGTATGGAACGGATCCTTCAAGGAGGTATGGAACGGGGGTATGGAACGGGGGTGGTCCCGGAGCTTGTTCCGGACCTCCTATTTTGACTTGCCCCCATATATATATATATACAAGTCTGGATGCAAGGTCAAACTGAACTCATGTCAGCATACAGTAGTTAAAGGGACTTTTGCTGAAACCATGGACTTACCCAACACTCGCTGAAGCTTAACTTTTGCTGGGAGAAACGGTAGCAGGATCTAACCCCAAGACCATTCAATATCTACTGGTTGGTGGTATACCTACCCCTCTGAAAAATATGAGTTCATCAGATTGGATCATCATCACAACTATTGTTGAAAAGAAAAAATGTTTGAAACCACCATTCAATATCTAAGTGTATCTATGGTTTCATCCTTTCAGAATGAGGTTTCCTGCAGTTGTTCAATTCTGGTTCTAAGCTGGGAAACAAGTTTCCCTACTCAGCCCTTTGGAATTTTGCAAAACATAAATCCATTGCCAAACCCAAGGTTTGGGGGGCGTATTTCATATATTTCATAGCGCGGGAACACGTGAGCCATTTTGGCACCTAACGCTTGGATCGAGTTTCAGTGAGATGTGGCAGTAAGGAGAAGGTGGCGGCCACCATGTTGTAGAACAATATATCAATCCATGCAAGCGCTCCCCTGTAATCTTCAGTGTGTCCAGCGTTGGATGCCATTCCATTTTTTCTCAGCCACAAATCAACTCCTTTCCACTTCAGAACCGCCCCTCGTCAATTGGCATCATCCCGAAAATAATCAGTTTTATTCGACATATCATGGATTTTGTGTGATCCTTTTTTGCCGATGAAATCCTAATTCTAGCTGACAATTCCCGTATTTCTGGTGGTTCATCAACCAATCATAAATAACCCAGCGCACCTGCATAGGTTGTCTTTCAAAGCAACCTCTGTGTCACTTGCCGTTTCCGACAAATCCCTGCATCGCATTGCATCGCAGCATCGGACGCGGAGAAAAAAATGTGGTTCTGTACATCGGACCATGACTCACCCCCAGGCGCGAACCATGGTGTTGGTATATAAAAACTTACAAAACTGGGTGATTTTGTTCGGGCAGATTTTGGTAAATATTCCAGCACCATGGAGCATATGGGACCAGTTTTTCAAGTTAGAAAAGTTGGAAACTGAAAATGATAGAAAATGATGTGGTAAACAGAAGCTATTATCGTGGAATCGTTTGATCAATTGGGGCACCCGAGGTTTCAACACCCTAGTCTAGGGTACTTACTGTCTTTATCCCCGTCCAAACCAGTTGTGAGCTAAAGCGTATGTGGCGCCCTTTTTCTTGCACTAGTGGGTTTACCATGGTTTACCACATCCACTGCCAAATACCCCAATTCAATACCCTCTGGTAAACTAACATAACTATGGAAAAACAATTTTCAATAATTAGTTTTGTTAGTTTACCGGAAGGTAATTCAGAACAAAACACCCAGAGATGCCACTGCTGTTTTGATTCTTGGTGGCACTGAAGAACCCACCCTGGAAAAATGATTCAAAATGTTTCTATGGATCAATACACCCGTTCCTTAGTGTCCTAGATGATTTCGATGATTTCTGCGTATTCAGTGGCTCAAACATGGCATTGGCAATTGAAGGTTTTTGCCATGTAACATATTCTAACATTGTGGGCATGCTTGACGATTGTTTAGCCATATTTTTTTGTGTGGGCCCATTGCTACCCAATTAGGAACTAAGCCGCTGTTGCACTGCCGCGTCATTTTTGTTTTTATCGAGCAGGAATGAAAAGCAACTAATTTGGGGATGGGTCAAAACCCTGGTACCTTTTGTTCACCCCAAGTCATAGCTGGGTTAAAATGGATGTTCATCCCACTATAGTAATGTATCTATAGGTATTGACCCCATACCAAATTTTGGCCACCACAAAAACATGGAAAAAATGCAGCAAATTTGCACTGTTCTCCGGCGGAATCCGTCCCCCGCGCCTTTGTTTGCGCTCAAGTTGGGTCGTCATCACCTCAGCTGGCTTTGACGAAATTGCAATGATTAAAAACCTGAACCCACAAAGCCCAATGCACATCACGTTTCAAACATTTTACAGAAATGTTACAACAGTCTTGTATATTTTTCCCATGCTACCGTATCATTGTAGCCTGTGGAGTGCGAACTGGGAGGGGCGTAGAGTGTTGAGTGCGAAGTGTAGAATGTAAAGCGTCGAGTGTAGAGTGTGGAGTGTGTAAAGTGTTCAGTGTGCAATGTAGAATGTAGTGTGGGGAGTGTAGAGTGTATGCTGGAGTGTAGAATGTGCAGTGCAGATGTGTGGCGTGAAGTGTAGAGTGTAGCTGTGGAATGTAAAATGTGGAGTGTAAAATGCGGCGTGTGGATTGTAAGTCTAGCGTGTAGAGTGTGGATTTTAGGGTATCTAAGAAGACTCGTCCAAAAAAAGGCTTGTTTGGATCCTGAATGCATGTGGCTTACCACACTGTACCCTCTGGTAAACTAACATAACTTATGGAAAATCACCATTTTTCATGGGAAAACTCACTATAAATGGTCATTTTCAATAGCTTTTTGTATGTTTACCAGGCCGGGTAATCATCCAACTGATTGAAGGCTCCAAAATGCCATGCTTCTGAACGCTTGCCGCCAAAACCTGCGGGGACCACAAAACGAACTCGGCCCCGCACGTTGTCAATGAAGATTGCCATGATCAGATTGAAGATTCCAACTGTTACCTTGCAGCAGCTGGAATTCTGTTATGATACACCTCTGGACAATCTACTTTTTTGCTGCCCCCGCAGTTATGTTTATTGGTGTATAAACCATAGTAAATATAGATACATCTACCATAAACTCCATAAACCATATAGTTCTTGGAGTTATAAACCAACTTAGCTAACTATGGGGCACCACCTTGTAATAATTTGGTTTGACAATTTTCCACAGAAAATACCATCAAAATCCAATCAGTCTCCAGTCGAAAATGGTATGACCATTGAGTACTCGGCTAGCATAAAGACCAAGATGTAGCCGATGAAGAATCTCCAGCCGTAATGGCGTAAGAGACGGTCCTGCGACGGGAGATCAGATGATCATCCTGTTCCCCTTCGAGTCGCTCAACAAGACCCTGAGGTTTGCCCGGACTCGCAAGGAGCGTCCGGGCAAGCCAAGATGACGATGATGACGATGATGATGATGATGATGATGACGATGATAACGATGATGACAATGATGATGATCTATCTTATCTTATTGAAACCCTATAACAAACCCTAATGACTGTATGATTAATTGTTCCATGGGGGCGGGGGATTTTGATATCTTCCTGAAGGGGATTTTGATATCTTCTTGAAACCCTATAAGAAAGCCTCATGACTGTATGGTTAAATCCATATGATATGTAGAAGCGGCATGTTCTGGTCAATACCCTAGCAACATAATTCAACATAAAATCCTTCCCATTGTTTGACGTCGTACAGAACTCACTGGTATTTACGCTATTCTGGGCTTGGGCAAACCTCTGGGGTCTGTGTGTAACATTACGGTAACATTAGGATCCCCAATAATTATGGATAATCTGGATGGTTTATTTTATGGATTTTATCCGTTTGAAAAAAAACAATGATTACCCTCTGGTAAACTAACATAGCTATTGAAAATGGTCATTTACTCATTTACAGTGGATTTACCCATTAAAAATTGTGATTTTCCATAGTTATGTAAACGTTTACCAGAGGGTACCCCATGGTACAGTACCATATGGTACCCCCATGACTTGTCGGAAACTCCCATGTAATTCCAGCTGAAATCGCACCTGCAGGGGCGTGCCATCGAATGCCGCGCAACCATCAGTGAAGCAACGGAAGAGCGTCAACATCGAAACCATGAGCGTCTCAAACTCCTGTCAGTTTCGAATGTGCGAAAAGGGCCATGGATTTGCTTTGAATGGGTTTTGAATGTGTTTTGAAGGTGCCATGGTTATCATGGTTATAAGTCTGCATTGTTCTGTTTCACAAAATGCGGAAGATTGTGAGGGACAATGGAAAATCATAGGATTCAATCATGCGCTGTTAAGTTGGTCATCAAGAAATAGTATGCAGGAAAATCCCACCTAGAAATTATTTTCCTACTAAAGCCGCCAAAGTTCCGGGTAGATTTCGCATGGCGATACTTGATTGGTTGCTTCAGAACGCACTCTCGAAGAACTCTACGGAACACCACATTTTTGTGTTGTTATTCCACACTTTTTGAACACAGGCCTTAAAAACTGAAAACATGTCCATACTTTTTTTCCTTCAACATGTCAGCTTCAAACATCTGCTACGACTTCGGTCTCTGTCAAGAAAGCGGTGGTCAATTGTCCTTTTCTCAATAAAACAGTGCCACAGATTGAAACCATCATGGCCAGTTGTGTTCATCACGAGCCAAACTGTGGCCTTTCTATGCCTTTCTTCCAGGTTTCTGCAGCTGATTTTCTCACATCCGAACAGCGTCCGTATCCGAGCGTTTTAACATCTCCTGCTCGGTGTCACCCACAAGTCGGCACATGGCCTGGGAACTGGGTGCTGATCGTGCTGGTTTCACTGTTTGTGATCCATGGGAAAAGCAGCAATTTGACATTGCTTTCTGGAAAATTGATCAGACAACCCATCGAACAAATATAGTTTTCATTATATAATTGTCCATAGATATGCTAAATTACCAGAGGGTATATATATATATGTATGGCGTTACATGTATGTGTGTGTTTTTATCGAAGTACTGATCCACTGTAATATACATAGTCCAAAAAAAAATCATCAAAATGGGAATTCGCAGTTTCACTGAATTTTGATAATCCCCAAAGAATATGTATATATATATATAGAAAGGGCAGTGTAAGCCCGAAACAAATCAACAACCAATTGAGGTTTCCAAAAAATGCTGGAGTTGACACATGCCAAATTGGAGTCGTATCTGGCTAGCCTCAAAAAAATGTTGGCGGCCAAGGTGTTGTCCTGCTAAGTTGACGTACATAACTTTTGAAAAACTGTGGTATTTATTTATGGTAGATATATCATGATATATCGAACCAGTTACAGTATTTGACCAACAAACATAACTAGGACACCACCTTGTAGAATGATCCTCCCTCGCTTTGCAAACAAATGTCGGTGTCATCCTTTTGGTCAAACGGGTCAGTGTCTTGTACCATGCTCACATGGAAACAAATTTGGTCGTTTGCTGCTCTCTAGACTCAACGACTCATCGACATGTTTTCACATGTTCAGTACAAGATTGATATGACTCATATGATGACATGAAATATAAGTTGAGTGGTCCCACAAAGTATAGTCGTATCTACCAAAAACCATGTATATATATATATATATAGTACCTTGGAGTTATCTTCACCAACTTAGTTATCTCGGTGGCCCCACCTTGTATGACCATTGTTACAAAATTCAATTATATATTAAGTAGCAAAGTTTGTATAGTTTACTATTATCATTTTCTTGGCTGGCCATCCGATGCCGTCCTGGTATTCTTACTATCTAAAATCAATCACAATCACCAATAGCAGCCATTGTGTTCGTCATGTCTGCCAAGCTTCTGGCTTTTCAGCTCATACCCTACTGTTTGGTGTTGCATCAGAAGGGAATTATTCTCGTTTTTCAATCGCTTGAATGGACACAAATATATATATATATATACCGGAAATCATATAGCTTGAACTTCGCCAGAATGTTTTGAAATGTCCTATACTGCCTATACTATCCTATCCAGATATATATACCATAAACATTAACTATCAAGGTGTATATATATATATATACATAATTATACATTATATCATATTAATTCATATTATATCTACCATAACTGGTTTGTTTTGGGGGCATTTCTATCCAGGCAAGACATGGACCCTTCCCACCCTCCTGCATCCAAGTAGCAAGAGCAACGACGTAGATAAAAACGATCAGCAGGAAGATCGCCTGGCAACCGCTGGCTCCGTCCGCTGGCTCCGGATGTTCAGCTGAGGAGTGGGAAATATATATATTTTTTTGTAAATGATAACTAATCAGCATCTTATAACAATACTGATAATAGTTCACTATAGTTCACTATAGTTCACTATAATAAGAACATCTTAAAAATTATATATATATATATAGTGAATGGGATATTATAACCATAGTTCCATCGATGTTAGTGGATAATGTTACTATAATGGGGAATAGAAACCAAGAACTTAGTCACTGGTGAATAAGCATAGTGACTTCACCGATTTTTCGGAGATCGCTTATTGGTTTTACCTTGCTTTACCACATCATATGATGTAGATGTGGGAAACCCATGGGGAAAGCCGTTTGGAAAATGAGCTGCACATAGTGGACTTTCCACATCTATGTGAGTTTGGTGTGTAGTGTAGTTTTCTTGTATATACATATATATAATATAATATAAATATATATATATGATACACAATCTTCCCGAAATTGCCACGGAATTCTTGAACAAATCATGGTGCAAAAATACCTGAGTCCTGACAATTCCATAATCCCAGCGACAATTAATGTGCTAATGTGGTACCATCATAAGACAATCATTTGAGCAGTGTTCAAACCCCCTGTTGGTTGATGATTAGTTGGGGGATTATACTATCCTTTATGTATTGGGGATATCCAATAATCCAAGAACCAGAAATCCCGTTCAAAAACCAGGATTACCCTCTGGTAATTTAACATGGCTATTGAAAATGGCCCATTTATAGTTGATTTACCTATTAAAAAAGGTGACATTTTCCATGGCTATGTTAACGTTTAGCAGAGGGTAAATGGACTTTGGAGGTTTCTCACCTTTTCAAACAAGATCAACAAACAACAGGGACATCAAACATCTGTGCTCTCCGCAGAGTATGGGTCATGGCTGCCATCCCTCAAGGCTGAAGAAACACAACGTACCCTCTGGTAAATGTTTACATAACTATGGAAAATCACCATCTTTAATAGGTAAATCAAATATAAATGTGGCATTTTCAATAGCTACGTTAAATTACCAAGAGAGTATCTGATCATATCTGCTGTGAACTTGATTGTAATTGTATACGTACCCGGTGGCTTTGCCTGAAATCTCAAACTAGGGGACCCGTAAATTTCACGATGTTCCCGTCGTTTGATGGTCCTTTGGGAAGTATACCCCACTTCAAACACACCCAAAGATCAGATCGTTAGTTGTATATCCCATGATATCTCCATCAACAATAACCATTGAATCCGCATCATATCCCAACCAGATCATATCTGTTCTTCATTTATACCTCAATTCAATCTAAACCTACTTGCTGGCTGCCTCATCTCAGCTAATAAGTGGCTTATAACCCAAGTTAGGGGATTCGTAGAGGCAATGTCCAGTGATGAACTAAGCCACGCTGCACCGATTCCGGGGAGTCACCAAGGATCCAACGAGGTTAGCCCGGTTACCCCGGTTTCGGGTTTCGACCGAGCAGCCCAAATCAAGACTCTCATGCCAGAAACCACGCCCATGACCATCAAATTCAGCTCTCCTTGGTGGTGAAACAGTGGAACACTTCAAATCGAGGCTTCGTAAGGTCAAATCGAAGGTCAAATTCAAAATAATTTCATATTTCGACTATCTGGACCTTCCAAAAGCCCTTCCTAACAGGGTGGTTGCACAGAAGGGCAGTTTGCTGAGAAGCCCTTTGAGGTAAAATGCAGCTGTTGCATATATCTACATTGCACACAAGTAGTGGCAGCCTTTGTAAGCAGCGTACGCGCAAACATACTCCATGGCAAACGTACCACCTTTCTTTCACAGACTTTCACCCTCCTGAGCGGCTGTTAACATTCTCAAAGGCCTTTTCACCTTTTTGAGGAGTTTTTCAAGCCAAGTTACGGTCGATCAAACATTGTAACACTGTAACACTGAAAAGAGCTCACTACATAGTGTGACAATTTCTCTTGAACGGCCAGATAATTCTGAAATGGCTGTTTAGATTAGATGGCGTTAATTACCTGCATCTGCTTATGGTTACCAGGAGGGGCTATTTGCCAATAATAAACCATCCAAGATTAAAATTTCACATGGCTAAACCTTGGATGGGCGACGCTGCGATTCATTGTTTTGGTCTCAATAAAAGTAAGCTTAACTTAGATACCCTGCAAAGGAAACACTTCTACCCTACTAACCCTACCTGTTGTGGCTGGGAAAGAAAGCATGTCATCCATCTTCAACTACTATTCACCACGGTTTAAGTGGCTATGCTTCACCAATAATATGTGTATCATCTGTCATATGACATGATACATGGTTCTTCAGAATAACAGCCATCCTGTCACACTCATTGCAAAGAAACTTGCATGCCCCCTTCCCCCCAATTCAATGTTGTTACATCGCTTTGCTTGGAAAAACCTTCAAAAAAAAACAGCCATTTCGGTTCGGATGCCGGCATGCATTGGGCAACAACATTGATCAAGGGGGCGCGGGGGGATCAGGTGTGATGTGACAACATGTAGGAGGATGGCTGTTTTTTTAAAGAACCTGGTATGATCAGATATGATCTAACATATATGATATTTAATATCATTCTAACATATATGATATTTAATATCATTCTAACATATATGATATTTAATACCATATGATATAACATATGTGATATTTAATATCATATATCATATTAATGATCTAACATATATATATATATATTATCAAACATATAATATCAGATCATATATATATATATGTATATGATGGGTGAATTGCCATTGCCATGTCTGATATCATCAAACATGGCAATGAAAATTCCTCCATCTCTGGATTCATGGGGATGACAGCTGGTGCCGACAGAAATGGACACAGAAAAAAGAAATCTACCCGGCCTGGTAAACGTTTATCCAGGTCGATAATGGTTGATAATGGTTGATAGTAATGGATAATAGTGGATTAAGCCATTGTCCCACTTTTTTTTCTGGGATGATTAAACCTACAATGTGATGCCCCCGTTCGATAGCTAAGGTTGTGCAAATAACTCCAATTCTACTATGGTTTATGGTATTTATAACGAACTAGTTACTGGGGCTTATAAACCAACTTAGCAATCTTGGGGGCCTCACATTGTACCCTCTTGTACGCTAATATAACTATGGAAAATCACCATTATTAATGGCTGAAGCCATATATATATATGGCTTCAGCCAATATATTCATTTTTTTACGTGAAACCATCATATCCCCCATATTTTCATTGTTGATTCACACGTGAATATATCCCCATATTGAGCAACTATTGAGCATGAAATTACTGGTTGGTGGTTTCAACCCCTCTGAAAAATATTATATAGTCAGTTGGGATTATTATTCCCAAAATATATGGAAACATAAAAAATGTTTGAAACCACCAACCAGTAATGCTTCTGATCATCAACCATCTACCTCTTGAACCAGCTACCGCAGCCCAGTTTGATATGCCCGCTACGCTTGGAAAAATATTCCCCATCAAGCCGCTTATTGTTCATCATATTCCCATGTTTTGTGGTGCAGTTGAGGTTATCACTGATTTTAACCATGGTTTCTTACGCCCACAATGTTGGGATTGAAAACCCGTGTGGCTATCTGTGGCTATGTATATATATATATGGCTTCAGCATGCTTCAGCCAACATATTCATTCCCCACCTGCCAGGTGAGGGTTCTTAGATTTTATGTCAGTTGCCTGCTCCTCCTCTCCTCCTCCTCCTCATCTCCTCCTCCTCTCCTCCTCCTCCTCCTCGTCGTCCTCCTCCTCGTCGTCCTCCTCGTCCTCCTCGTCCAACTGCGACCCGCGATCCACAGTGTTCTCTGTCGGACCTCAACCACGACCATCCATGCTCAGTGTTCCCTGCCGGACCTCAACCACGACCATCCACGCCCAGTGTTCCTCCCTGCCGGACCTCAACCACGACCATCCACGCCCAGTGTTCCCTGCCGGACCTCAACCGCGAGTATCCCCGCCCAGTGTTCCCTGCCGGACCTCAACCACGACCATCCACGCCCAGTGTTCCCTGCCGGACCTCAGCCGCGAGTATCCACGCCAAAAGATATGCCACATAGAGTGCCAGAAGATATGCCAGATAGAATGTTAGAAGATATGCCAGATAGAATGCCAGAAGGTATGCCAGATAGAATGTCAGCTAGAATGCCAGAAGATATGCCAGATAAAGTGCCAGAATGTTTGCCAGATAGAATGCCAGCAGATTTGCCAGATAGTATGCCAGAAGATATGCTAGATAGAATGCCAGATGGAATGCCAGAAGATTTGCCAGATAATATGCCAGAAGATATGCCAGATAGAATGCCAGATGGAATGCCAGAAGATATGCCAGAACATATGCCAGAAGATATGCCAGAAGATATGCCAGAACATCTGCCAGAAGATATGCCAGAACATCTGCCAGAAGATATGCCAGGTAGAATGCCAGAAGATATGCCAGATCGAATGCCAGAAAATATGTCAGATAGAATGCCAGAAGATTTGCCAGTAACAAAATGTATAAATGTCATGGTGGGGATCACACGAAGTAAAGTAATTTTTGTTTACGTGAAACCATCATATCCCCCATATTTTCATTGTTGATTCACACGTGAATATATTCCCATATTGAGGAACTATTGAGCACAATATCAATAAAGCCATGTATCATATAAGATACAAAGCCATATATCATATAACTATAACTTGAGCAACTATTGAGGAAAATTAGATTATATGGCTTTATACCTGATATATTCGTAAGTGATTTTTCGCGACTGTTTCACAGAAAGCCGGGTGAATTCCTGATTTCTCATGCACCCCCGTTGTTCCATGGTTGTTCGGAAATAACCATTGATAAAGGATCCAAAGAATGGTGGAAAAAAACGCATCTTGTTGGTGATATCCTGTTATATCCTTGATATTCCATTTTTTCTTGGCCAAATCATGCGAAATCCGAAATTGTTGGGAAACCAAACCCATATGTTTGGTAAACGTTTGTTACTTATCCCCATATCTATGCCGACTTCAGCAGCCTTCGTTCCAAGCATCGAAAGATAGGATAGCGCAAGGCACGAATGAGCCGCGCCAGACGTGCCAAACGCAACATCTTCAGCAACATCAAAATGCTCAGGTCTACGGACTGACCTGGGACTACAATGGGATTAACAGTAGGTACCCTCTGGTAATTTAACATAGCTATTGAAAATGGCCATTTTTAGTGAGCTTTACCATTAAAAAATGTGATTTTCCATAGTTATGTTAGTTTACCAGAGGGTAAATGATAATCCAACTAGTTATTTAATGTTATACATCTATTAACAATGGGATTAATATTGAACTTTAATGGACTTTAATTAAGTTTAAAGGGATTGACAATGGGATAAACAAATAAATTCTTCAGGTCGAAGACACGCCCTAGATCAGTACGGTTGATGGGGACTGATTCTGCAAAAGTCATTGAACAATCAGAACCTTTTTTTTAAAGACATTAGATTATATGGTTCCTATGTTTTTTCAAGACCATTAGATTATATGGTTCACATTAGATTACCCTCTGGTGAACTAACATAGCAATGGAAAATCACCATTTTTCATGGGAAAATCCACTATAAATGGCCATTTTCCATTGCTATGTTAGTTCACCAGAGGGTAAGTCATTAAAAAATTCATGATATTTGGATCATATTGGGACCAGGAAAGTTCGCTGAGAATCTTTGGATCGAGCCAAAAGTCCCAGCTGAAAAAAAGGTGCCATCGTTGCTGGGATGGTGACATTTACTACTGATGCTTGCGAAATCTCACCAAAATCCCATTCGAATCCCAATAAATCACCAGTGTTTCATAGGAATCCCTATAGTTACCCTGCCTGGTGCAGGATTTCCTTTATCAGCATGGAATATACCTTCTGGTTTAACAGTTTGCTATGGAAAATGGATAAGAATGGCCCATGGATAGATGATGTACGATGATTTACCTATCAAAAATGGTGATGTTCTGTAGCTATGTTAACCTTGGGGTACATTGATATGGAGATGTCAACCGGTATGGCGATATAGCTGGGGAAATTTGATGCTGAGAAGTAGCAACAATCCCAAAAACTCATCTAGTTCTATCCTGGCTGGTGCTTCAGCCACAAAATCGATGTGGGACTTGAAAACATGGAGATATTCAATGGATTAATTATGAGATATAACTCTAAACTATAGATATATGTTTACAGTATATATATATATATGTTTTATTTATTTATGGAATGCACATATGTACATTCATCTGTAAATATAGATTTTATCCAATAACGAAATGACAATATGGGGACATTAGAAACAATACATATGGTCGCGGCTCAAAATGAGCCAACCCCGATCCATACATCTCGAAGAGATATGGTCCCTACGTCCCGAAAAATACCTTGATCCATGCGCCAAAATGACAAGATCTACAAGGTGGTGCCCCAGTTCGTTAGCTAAGTTGGTGCAAATAACTCCGATAACTATGGTTTATGGCAGATATAACTATAGCTAATAGGGTTTATAAACCAACTTATAACTGGGGGGCATCATCCTGTACCTATGTCCGGATCATTGTGGTTCATGATCCAGCCAGCCATAGATCGCCATTCCAAGATGTTGATATTGGTCCAAAAATACGACATATGGTGGCATTAGCGAATAGAAATGGGGATACAACTGTGAACATGGATGGTTCAAGTGATCAAATTCCGTAGATATGGGCCAAGGTGAGGGCCCACCTTGTACCTGAATTTGTTGCATGTCGGCACCACATTGTCTTCCCGGTCTTCCCCAGAGTTTTTTTTTTGGAATCTTCCCCATATTACTAGACATTCGGCTGGAAGATCCCAAAGACCCCAAAAAGCACTAGTTACCCTCTGGTTATTTAACATAGCCATGGAAAATGGCTCGTTTATAGATGGTTTACCTATTAAACATGGTGATTTTCCATGGCTATGTTAAATAACCAGATGGTAATCAGTCATTTAGTACCTAAGTGATGCACTAGTGGGGACCTCCTGGTGATATGATGACGGTGTCATGTTGTTATTCCCAGAACGAACAGTCTTTTTTCAGTAACATGTTTTCCCGTGTGCTTAATTTATGCAGTTTAATATATTATAGTATAAGCACATGCCATCACATGTCTATGGTAGTTCTGATAATACAACCAATAAAATCTATCAATTAGATATCCTATGAATACATCTGTTATAGACAAGATATACTCATAAATCAGGGTTAGAATTATCAATTGTTTGGTTTAAGGGAACATCTTAACCCGAAACCCTGGGTTTTTACATGTTTTTACCATCAAAATTATGGCAAAATTTCCCTGTAAAGCTTCCCATAAATCCAATCCAATAATCAATGAGCAATATGTTGCTTAATATGTGGTTAATATGCTGTTAATAATTGTTAACATATGCTTATTATATGGTTATTAGATGGTTAATGATGGTTAATAATAACCTGGTTGCTGGTATACCTACCCCTCTCAACAATCATGGACTTCATCAATGGGGTTGGGACGACATCCCTTTTCTATGAAATGGAATTCATAATCCAGTAATGTTTGAAACCACCAATCAGTATATATATATATATATTATATCATATATCCCATCAAATATCCCTACTATACCACCAAATATCCCATCAGTTTGAAACCACCGTCCCCAGCAATTTTTATTCAATGGACATGTCCAACATTTTTCCAATGAAATGACTCCGAGTTGCTGGCTCCCGCGGCTCGCACTCCCTGGCGTCGTCAGTAACCGTCATAGGAATTGAGGATGGATGGTTTTTTATTGGATAATATGGGATAGTTAAGGATAGTTATTGGATTATTATGGGATGAAAAAAATCATAGTTACATCTAAATCATAGATTTTAAGGAGAATTATTGGGAGAGTTGAGGATATGATAATATTTGTGGTAATTAGATAATTTTTGAGATCGCTATGTTGGATAGTAACAGAAAAAAAACTGGCTGTTTCCATAACTAGTGCAAAGTTTGTGTCACCGTTTTCGATATCCGAAACAGGTCATTTAACTGTTAAGATGTTGTGGTAGTCATTGTTTTCAATAGCAACAGTCATATGATGTCTCACAGTTATCATAAACATAAATTGATAAATCTTGAGTAAATTAATTTACCCTCTGGTTATTTAACATAGCCATGGAAGCCATGGCCCATAGAAATAGATGGTTTACCTATTAAACATGGTGGATCTTTCCATGGCTATGTTAGTCATAACCAGAGGGTATATCAATTCAGTTATCCACATCTATGTGACCCAGTGGCCATGACTAGTTAGACATGGCTTCAAGAGGTGAATTTGCCTTCTTGCGCAGAGCAAGCTTACAATGTGGAGCCCCAAAACGTGATGTTTGTTGGTTTTTGTTAACCCCATGAATACTATAGTTGCAAGTATCATAAACCCAAACGTTATTGAAGTTATGTTCACCAACTTAGCTATCGTAAACAGGGGCCCCACATTGTAGGAAGTTGTTTATTTCATCCATATATAACCCAAAAGTTCATCTATAATCCACTGATGTTCATGGATATTCCACTCTAATCTAACTGAGAAGAGCCCTATCTATTTTGTTCAGCCATTAACTAACTGGGATGCACCCTCAAGGGACTCAAAAGTGGTCATATTTTGAATGTGTTCTGGATTTGAGGCTTTGCACTGTCAACCGATCAACCCAATCAACCCCGGCCTGTGTCACTCCAAAGTCCAAAAGAGACGTCGATAAGCAAAACAGATCCTCGGAGCGACATTCGAACAGCAGTGATACCCTCTGGTAATTCAACATAGCTATTGAAAATGGCCATAGAAAGAGTGGATTTTCCCATTAAAAATTGTGTTTTTCCATAGCTACGTTAAATTACCAGAGGGTAAATCATCCATTCGATTCCAACATCGATTCTCTGGTGGCTCAGTCTTTGATTTTTGTTCCCTGCATACATAGCCTTTGAAAATAGCCTCACAGCACGTATGCCAGCTGCGAGATTTACCCGGCCTGGTCAACGTTGACATAACGAACTGGAAAATCACCATGCTATTAATGGGAAAATCCACTGTGAATGGCCATGTTCAATAGCAAACTGTTAAATATTGTTAAATTATCAGAGGGTACCATGATTCACCCTAGTTCCGCCAAAAAAACCTGGATTGGCACCGCTTATCCATCCTTGGTCATCATTGCTATCCAAGTGACAAACCAATTCCAAGCCCATTCCGGCCCCCTGCGCCACAGTGCACTGACTGTTTGGCGCATTCGCTTTGAGAAGTGATGTGGCAGTCATTCATGTCATTGTAAAAATCTGGTTGGTGGTGCAATAACCATCTTGAAAAATATGAGTTCGTCAATGGGAAGGATGACATCCCATATATTATGAAAAGTAAAAAATGTTTGAAACCACCAAGCAGTCATATTTTGCAGCCCAGCAAGTGGTGTTTCTGTGTTTTTCGAGAGATCGGTCGCCTTAAGCTTGGTATTGCAAAATAGCCATTCCGGTGCTGGCCTGAAATAGCCTTTGCAACCCATCAGTCGCAGCTTGACAGTAGCCTCATGGCATCTCATGGCTGGTGCCATTCAGTTTCTGTGAAATGGTCGATGCAACCAGCAAATCTACCCCATCTGACAATGGCTGATTTAAAACAGGGACACATCCCCCCAAAGAGAGCAGGTCACATTCCTTTCTGCCAGATGTTTCTGTCCTTTATGGTTCTTCAGAAGCACATTTCACGGGAGACAAAAGTGAAGCAAAAACAAACTGTGTCATGCGATCTTTGCGCCCATGGCCTATGATTTGGTTCTAGCTATATCCATGTCTGCCTGATGCGGCCTGATGGTTCTTGACATGACTGAATATATATATATATATATACGTATAATATTGTATACCTATATGTATAACCACTATGTGTATTATGAATCACATTCCATAGCAAGAAAACAAGACGCGGCAGCATACAAATCTACCATCATGTATACATGTATGCAAAACACAACAACTCTTCGTTACGTTTTTAAACACAAACAAAAACAAACATATTCAGCCAAATTCACACAGCATATCAATGTCGACACCTTGGAAGACTCGGATCTGATCTTTGGCAAGTTGCTTCCATCAAGTAGAAGACCATGAAACAATTTTCCTGGGAAAATCACTGCAAAGAGAGCCTTTGCAAAGGTGGTACCAAAATTTGGACTACGTTGCAACTCTCAGTTGGCTGAGCATCATCATTCAAAAGAAACGGATCTGCCATACACCGTAGCTTGGGGAGGATCTAGAGACCCTCATCTGACAAAAACAAAAGGTGTGAAACCACCAGCTACGAACTCTTTCACCTTTGAAGACGTCAATTGAAGGTAAAACATTGACAAATTAACATGATAAAAATGCTTGGTGATGCTTCAGCCGCCTCGCAAAAAAAATATGTTATTTGAATATGTCAGCCCATCTTTTAGACACAGTCAACGGTAGCATTGCAGTTCAAGCCCTAAAAAGTAGAAATGTTATGTTTTTTAATGGTTATACAGTTATGAGGTTATCACCAACCAAACATTGTTTTTTTTACATTTTAATGGGTTATACAGTTATGGGCTTATCATCAACCATGCAAGGGCTTTTCTTCACCTACTCATGTATATAATATTTATAAGTCTGGCTGGTGGTTTCAACCCCTCTGAAAAATATTAGTCAGTTGGGATTATTATTCCCAATATGTGGAGAAAAAAAAACATGTTCCAAACCAACCAGTATAACTAGTATAACTGCTATAAATAGGGCCATCAGAAAAGCGTGAACAGCTTAAAGTAGAGGAAGGAGACGACCACCGGACCCTGTTTTTCGGCCCAAGGCTCCACAATTTCCCACATATCCTTGGCGCCGGTCATGCTGGTTTCCCGAAAATTGTACAAGTAAAGATAAGGTACCCTCTGGTAATTTCACATAGCTATTGAACATGGCCATTTATAGTTGATTTACCCATTAAACATGGTGGTTTTCCATAGTTATGTTAGCTTACCAGAGGGTACCTGGATTTTTCATGGTGCTTCTTTGTCATCCCAAATTGTTCTTATTTGGTTATGCTGGCTCCCTGCATGATAAATGTAAATATAAGGTATCTTCATTTCATTGCGCTTCTTAATCATCTCAAATCTTCCTTATACGGTCATGCTGGCTTTAAAAAACGACTTGAACCAAACAGGCAAACAAGGTGCAGTTATGTGCAGTTGGGACATAGGCTCTGTACTTTTCAGTAGTAGTAGAAATTCTTCAATTTACCATCTGCACTAGTATTTTCTGAAAGGATATGTTTTATGATATACATCTGCACTAGTAATGGGGATTTCATGGGAAGAACATGGGGATATATCAACCATCATGGGGATGGGAAACACACTCTCCGGCAATCAAAGATGACTGGAACATCATCCAACTATAGCTGGGGGATTACCGGAGGGCATGAGAAAGATCCCACTAGATCCAATAAAAACATCATGATTCATGAATTAAATCAGAATTAATTAAATGGATTTCATTGATGAACACATGATTGATGAACTAATGATGTCATTCAAATCATCATTATGATTGAATGAATTCAACCCCATGACATATCCCATTAAATCTATCTTGAAAGCCACAAATAAATCCCATGTTCTCGTCTGGCACGACTGGCACACCCCGGCCGCTCGCTGGTTTGTTGGAAAATCCCAAAGAAAAATGGATGATAAATGGGATACCCCCATGACAAAACGGAAACCACCTGCTGTTTATTGCATGACAGTCATGGCTGACCTTAGTCTGACATATTTTGCAAACAAACATGTGTCTATTTGAGCATGATCTTCCAAAAATGTCCAAACCATTTGGCTGAATTACCCTCTGGTAATTTAACATAGCTATTGAAAATGGCCATAGAAATAGTGGATGTTCCGATTAAACATGGTGATGTTCATTGATTTTCCATAGCTATGTTAGTTTACCAGAGGGTAGAATTCAAACATCGGAAAGAGCCTTTTGGGGTCACCCCGCAACCATATGGCAATATGGTGAGGTCAGGGCCCTTTCGCGGGTCCCGATTCATGGCGAGATCAACCACCAAAGGCCGGCAAACCAAAAGGCAAAAAGTTAGTGATGGACGTTTTTTCATCATCTGGCTGGTGGTTTTAAATGGTTTTAACCCCTCTGAAAAATATGAGTTCGTCAGTTGGGATTATTATTCCCAACTGAATGGAAAAATCAAAACTGTTCCAAACCACCAACCAGTCATGGTTCTCTCAATCAGACTAGCAAATGTTTAGACTCCATTACACCTCGATAGCTGATGTTTCATCCCCATCGGTAAATCCCTTGCGGCGCTTCATCCCATTATCTATGAGGCTTCAATTTGCAAATGTCCAATATCCTTAAATTATTTAAACCTTGCAACATCAAGTGTTACATGTTCGCATGCCTAAACCTGACATGAGCTTAAATCGCAGGGCGCCACAAAATCCTGTGGTTTATCATCATGTTCCCCCCAACAAAAACAGTTTTTGGGTGTATCATGTTCTACCTGTACCTCATTTCTGGACCCAAATCTCAAATCCTTCAACATTGTCGTTTATGTCCCCACTAAGTCACTATATTCCTATGATGATTAATGATTGGCTTAAAGCATCCCCGACAAGTCAACTCTGATTCAAAGAAAGTGGTAAAATTCAAATCTTTGGCTTCTATGATCTATCTGGGTAAATTACAATATTTCATTAACCTGAATTAAGGCCATTTGGGGATGATTTCCCTTATTAACTATGATCCAAGTGAGGGAGAGGGGGGCTTATAAACCAACTTATAACTGGGGGGCCTCACATTGTATATATAACATAATATAATATAATATATAATTTATAATATATAATATATAATATAAAATATAAAATATATAATATATAATATATAAAATATAATATATAATATAAAATATAAAATATAAAATATATAATATATAAAATATAAAATATAAAATATATAATATATAATATATAATATATAATATATAATATAATATAATATATAAAATATAATATAATATAATATAACATAACATAACATAACATAATATAATAATATAATATAATATAATATATTAAAATATAATATAATATAATATAATATAATATATATACTCCGTAGTCTATAGTTCTATCCCCCATAAACCCCAGTGATTGAAGTGATGTTCGCCAACTCTTCGGTATCTAAATCCCTGTAAATCCTAGTGAAATCCCTTTAGAAATCCCATATGTTCCACCCATAAAATCATGACCACTGGACCTGTTCATATCGTTCATATCGATATATCCATCCTAGGCCCCTAGGCCAAGGCACGTCTCCGGGGAAGACTTCCTGGAAGGCAAAACTCAGGGAGTTCAGAACGATGACCGTCGCCGGCAACTGGCGAACGGAGGCCCAGAGGCCGCGCCCAGGGCGGAGAGGAGAGAACTCTGTTGCTGGGCCAACCCCTGGAGGTATGGCCCGAGTTATACCAGTTATACCCTCTGGTAAACGTTTACATAACTATGGAAAGATCCACCATTTTTCATGGGAAAATCCACTATTTCGACTGGGTCATTTTCAATAGCTATGTTAGTCATTACCAGAGGGTAACTACTAACAAAACCCCATCTGGCTGGTGGTGGTGCAATGTGCCCATCTTGAAAAAAGATGGAGTGAAAGTCAATGGGAAGGATGACATCCCATATATGAAATGGAAAAAACTGTTTGAAACCACCAACCAGCCATTTATAGCATGTATAATCATGTATAATCCCAGCTATAACCAGTTAGAACTAATAGCCATGGCCATCACTGTGGAGAGTTCGTTCGTAGCATAAAGATCCAGTTTAAGTGTATTGTCGTTTGAGTCAACCATGAGTTCACCAACTGAAAATCAACTTGACTATCTTGGGGGCCCCATTACGGTAAGAAGACATTGGAACTTGTCGCGTCAAACACGTATGGATTTCACCCATCGAAAAGCTGATGAAAAACGCTCCAGCAGTTTGTGGAGGTGAAATCGATGGAAGTTTTGGTATTTCGGTGGACAATGGTTTAAAGTCGAGCCTGGATTCATCAACCCCTAGGCTGCTCAATGGGCTAGGAGATTATCATAGATTATAGATTATCACTATTTGGGGAGTAGCACCGAATTTTTCTCAACTTCATAAACCATGGCATAACCATGGTCTATTCATCCGGGGTTGACATAAAAAAGATGCACTCGATGTACTCATCTGAACAGGCGAGAATCTTCTGGTTAGATTCCCCAAAATGCGCCGGCAAAAAGGCAGCTGCTTCTTTTGGGAACGTTAAACACATCAGATTTTCTGCATCCTTTAGATTCCTACAATGTGGAGCCCCTAAACGTTATGTGAACGTTGGTTTTTGTTAACCCCATGAATACTATAGTTGTATCATAAACCCAAACGTTATTGAAGTTATTTGCACCAACTGAACGCTATCGTAAACGGGGGCCCCACGGCTTGTACAAGAAAAAAGACCTGAAATGATGCCTTCGAGGATGATTCCCGAGCTCGGTTCGAAAAAATCATATGCCAAGTCAGTGAGATCGTGATCAAATTTACCCTCTGGTAATTTAACGTAGCTATTGGAAATGGCCATTTATAGTTGATTTACCCATTAAAAAAGGTGATTTTCCATAGCTATGTTAGTTTACCAGAGGGTATCTGGTTGGAGGTATACCTACCTCTGAAAAATCATGGAGTTCGTCAGTTGGGATGATTATATATGATTATTCCCAAGATATGGAAAAAATAAACATGTTCCAAACCCCAACCAGTTATCCAGATGTGACTACCCAATATCCAAATGTCCCAGTCAGAAGATATGACTAGCTAGCAGCAGCTAGCACTAGCTAGCACTAGCTACTAACTTTCGGAACCATCCAAGCAAGTCGATCATCGACAGCAACAGCAACAGCCATTTTTTTCACAACTAAAAACACACACATCTATTCGAACACATAAAATTTAGCATTTAAGATATGTCAGAACGTAATTGAACATGTCGTACCATGTCGTAACTTTGTAAATGTTGCTCCTTGAAGGTGGGTGCCCATTTTTCAGTGATGCATTTCTGAGTTTGTTTACCTTTTTTTGAGATCCATTCACTGTTGTAGATGTTATATCATGTTATATCCCGCGAAATAATGCCTATAAACATCAAAGCTCAGTTATTAGAGTGAAGTTATGTTCACAAACTTCGCGTTCACAAGGGCCCCAAGGGCCCCACATGGCCCCTTAAAAGTTGCTATATTTTGGGGGTCCAGTGGCCCACTGAGAAGCCGGACAAGCTCCAAGAGTTTCGAAGTCCGGGCGGAAAAGACCTGTTTTTCAGCAAGGTGATGGGATGACATAAGCCATAGGATCCATGGTGCTGCTATATATGGTAACATGGATCCCATCCATATACCCCAGTCATGTTAGCATTAATATAGCAGCACCATGGATCCTATGGGTAAGGGGAATGTTTACATACAATGTTGGGCCCCCAAACGTGATGTTTGTTGGATTGTAAACCATAGTAAATATAGAAATATCTACCAGAAACCATAGTTATTGGAGTTATAAAACAACTAAGCATTAAGCTAACTATGGGGAACCACCTTGTATGAAGGCCTGGATATGGAACTTCGGATACTAACTGGTGGTTGAAAAACTCCTTGAAAGATGAAAACAATTGAAAACACATCTAGGAATCTAGAGGGAAAAAAAACAAAAACGCCTGAGCCCACCAGCAGAAATGTGACTTTTTGAACAATATCAGATCTTTTAAATGATCTAACAACCTGAGAAAAGGTTACCCCACATTCTTAAAATCTGCGAAAGTCAACTTCCATAGGTTTTCTCAAGGCGCAGAACTTTCGTCAAATAAAATCAATGAGTAAACTTGAGTAAACCTATGGAACATCTATGGAAAATGGATGAACATATAACCCTTGTGATCCTTCTGGCAACCCTATTCCATACCTTCGGTTTTTCCACAACCCTTTTGAAGACGAAGAAATTGCTCGAGTGATCATTCGCTGGTTGATGGTTTCAACCCCTCTGAAAAATATGAAAGTCAGTTGGGATGATTCTTCCCAATATATGGAAAAATAAAAAATGCGCCAAACCACCAACCAGATTCGTGTTGAGCCAACGCTAACGGCCCAGCCACGTAGTACACTTTCTCCTCTTCAACGGGTTCGTCCGTGAACTGGGTGTGAAGCCTTGGCTGAACATTTGGCGCATTTCGGCGCTGATTTTGATGGTCTTTTAAAGGGCTGGCCCTCGGAAGCAAACGTTGCGTTTGGATGAAATTCTGAGCCGAAAAACTCTGAGTGGACACTTTTTTTTGACTGTCGGCATCGCAGATGATCCACTGATTTTTGGAACGCCATTTGAAGCTGCTATACCACCCACTGATAGATCATCGCGCTGGAAAAACCAACTCCAATCCTGGGGTTTTCCACGAAGTTCGGGGTTTATGCGTTGAAGTCCGAATTCTCAAATGTTTTCGACTTTGGCTCCAATAAACCATCGGTGCACCTAGCAGACCTAGCACACCTGCCCAAAAAGCAACTGATTCTGGGCAGATTGACTGGATGTGTGTCCATGTTGACTGAAACATCGTGTATGCTCTCCAATGCCATATGTGTTCTTGCTGAACTGTTTGTAGTTGTTTTTGATCGGTTTCAAAAAACTGGGTTTCCGGTCTTTGTTTCAACCCCCATGTGGCAGCTTCTGATGTTGAATCCTCTTAAATCCACATGATGTTGGTTAAATCCATGTTAAATCCCAATGAATGCTGAAAATGGTTTAACTTATGTGAAAAATCGCCATGTTTCATGGTGACACCGTGACATATTTTCATGTCCCAAGTTTGAATCCTGAGATCTTCGAACAAAATGGTCACCATAGTTATGAAAGTTGATGTTCATACCCCCAATAAAACGATATACCACAAACCCAACAGTTCTTGGAGATACCCTCTGGTTATTTAACATAGCCATGGAAAATGGACCATAGAAATAGATGGTTTACCTGGGTCTACCTATTAAACATGGTGGATCTTTCCATGGCAAACTGTTAGTCATAACAAGAGGGTATTCATGTTTACCATCTTAGCCATCTCCCATGGCGAATCCAATGAAAATCCCGTTTTTAAAATCGCCATTGTTGCTGGCTAACACCTGGCTAACATACCATTTATGGGAGAAATAATATAATCATCAAAAGATCTAGCATAAATGATTTATGATCATAAATAGAATTTAATATTTAGTACCCCATATACCATAGGATACCATAGGTTTATTAATCATAAAGCCAGCAGCCCATAATGTAAAATACCAAGCAGCTCTTCACTGCGCAAGGCGGCGCGAGCCTTGGCTACGTCGCGCAGGACGTTCTTGGAGCTCACCGGAAGTTCATGTTCACACCTGGAGGCCAAAGATAGGGATTGAAATGATTTTAAACTCTAGAAACCACTTTAACCAGAGATTTTTGTGGTGGTTTTTATGGTGGTTTCATCAACCGTAAATGAAATTTGTTAATGATTTTAATTGGATTTAGCTATCGACATAAGGCAAAATACGAGCCATTCACTGCAGTTAAAGCCCCAGAAGCAAATTAACTATTTTTGTGGGGTTATCATTCCATAAATGGGGCTAAAAAACAGCTTCCTGACTTATAACTGGTATTTCCGGGCATAAGTCTAGGGATTTGAATAGGATTTGACGATCAAAATATGGGAAAGTGGCAGTTGACTTGAAGGTGGGGTCCGCAGACGTGAAATGTTTCTTGTTTTATAAGCTTTCCTCATTAGTTCGTTATATCTACCATAAATACCTTTGTCATTTGAGTTATGTTCAACTTAGCTATCGAACGGGGGCCCGACCTATTCATTTCATTCGTATTTAGCTATATATCAAGATATGTGGATGTGGATAAATATTGGCGGAAAATAGGATACATCTGAAGGTATGAGCGGAGAATCAGGATATATTACTGGGTAAATTATAATATTTCACTAACCTGAATTAAGGCCATTTTGGGATGATTCCCCTTATTTACCATGATTTCCAGTGAGGTCGCAGTGAGGTCGTTATAATTTACCCAGATATATATAATGGGGGTATACCTAACAAGTTGAGATTTGGGTGGAAGATGGTGGATTAAACCCAGCAAATGGCAACTGTTGTAAGCAAAATTCTGATCTACCAGTGGATGGAATGGGGTACCCTCTGGTAATTTAACATAGCTATTGAAAATGACCATAGAAATAGTGGATTTACCCATTGAAAATGGTGATTTCCCATAGTTATGTAAACGGTTACCAGAGGGTACCAAATTCAAGACAAACCACATCCGAGATGAAGATTCAACCATCGAAACGGGAAGTTCACCGTGGTAACAGCAAACCCTACAGAAACCCTAAACCAACCCTCAATCAAACCCTGAAGAAACCCAAATTTCACCTTAAACCAAACCTAAATAAACCCTAAACCAAGACTAGATAAACCCAAAACCAACACTAAGCAAACCCTAAAGAGACCCTAAAACAAACCTTGACAAAACCCGACATTAACCATTAACATTACCATTAACCCGAAGCTAACCAAATAAAACCTAAACCAAGCCTGACTATACCCTACACCAAGCCGAAATAAACCCTGACCCAACCTTCACACAAACCCTGATGAAACCCTTACTTAACTAAACCAACCCTTAAAAGCCCTAAACCAGGCCTAAATAAACCCCAAACCAACGCTAAGTAAACCCTAAATAGACCCTAAACCAAACCTTGACGAAACCCCACATTAGTCCTAAACCAACCCTAAATAAAACCTAAATCAAGCCTGAAAATTCCCTAAACCGTATGTTGAGTTGTAAGCAAGAATGGTCATTGAGCAATCATCTGAAGAGCCAGTGCCTGAAAGAGACATGCATGTTGCATGTTTGAAAAAAAAACATGCATATAATATAAATACATACATATATATGTATGGAAATGGAAGCACGCCGCAGTGCAGTCACCCCTCGCCCCCAAAAGCCCAAAGGGGGGGGGCGGAGTGTGACTGACTCGGACGTGGTGCTTGACTCATTGCGTTCTGACTCTGTCAGTGGGTGACTGATTCCGTCTGCTCTCTGGCTGAACTTGTTCGCATGGAGTTGCTTAAGAACGGTGCATAGGCCCAGAAATGCGCAATCTAAATGGGAAGAAATACAACAGTCTGCGAAATGTTGGAATATCAACCCCATTTTCAGACAAACTCAGTCGATCACTGGAAGATAAGCAAAATAAACATGTTGATGCATGGTTTTTCTGTTGAGGAAAAATCATAGAGAGTACAACCAACTGGTATATTTCCCTTAGAGAAAACCATAGTTTTTCAATGCCTTTCATGGTGGTAAATTTTCTGAATGTTGGTTAGATAATCCCATAATATCAAAACAAATCACCATAAATCGCCACTCACTGGATTGGTTTAAGGGAAAATGTGCAGGAAACCATGGTTTTTACCATCAAATATAGGGCTTTCCTGTTAAAATTTTCCCATCATCCAATTCTTTGAGCCACATATCAATATCAAACTCCATATGGATCCGGCCTTGGGAGACTATGTGACTTTCACCTTGTTCACCCCAATTTATCACCGCTATGATGTTCTGGTGGATTTGCAAGCAGTAAACAAGAATACAGTCTGTCTGTCTGTCTGTCTGTCTGTCTGTCTGTCTGTCAAGCCGTGCGCCGCGCGGCGCGTGGGCGGCTCCAACTCCATACATATGCACACAACATGCAGACTAAAAACTTAAAGGCATTGTGCTACAAGGCAGCCTGACTGGCCCCAATCGATTCATTGGTTCAAAACCAGTTGGCGCCATTGCTTTTCATTCTGGACAAAAAATAACAGATTGCGAGTACTACCTGTAAAGGGAAGTGCTAAAGAAAAAACTTCAGGTATCCACTCTTTACGGGGCCGGCCTACCCTTCTCAGATATCGAGATGTAGCAGCAGTGTATGTGCCAGGTTCAAACGAGACTTGTCTCAGAGGGTGGTACGGGTGGCAACGCAGAATCTTTCCCAAAAGCAACAGCTGTTTTCGTTCAACAAAAATATAGCATAAATGTATATTTATATATATACGTGTATATATGTATATATATACATATATAAACAGTATTTCAATATAACGATAACATATAGATATCTAACCATCAAATAAATAAATGTATATAATAGTATATAAGCATATAGGTACTTAACCACCAAATAATGAAGAAGGTACCGCTGACATGCAGCATGACTGGGTGTCTGGCAAAAGTTTACACCACCCCCGTTTTCGCCACTGATATGTTCCTCAAACGTTGAGGAGATTTCGCTGCAAATCATAGGCAACTTCAGCCGCAATGGAGATGTCAGCCCAGTAAATTTGGTGCCATTGGCATAGTTCTTCCTATCCTATCTGTTGTTTTCAAGGCTGAACATGGCGAAGAAATCCCTGACATATGCATGGAGGTTTCCTAAAATCGGGTTACCCCCAGTCATCATCCATCTTGATACGACTTTTCCGTTCTAAACATTTCGAAAAACCATCCAGCGAGCTTGGGGTACCCCTCCATTTTAAGAACATCCCATCCTCGCATGGAAATCACCATAACTGGTTGGTGGTTTTTCGCCCTACCCCTCTGAAAAATCATGGAGTTAAAGTCAGTTGGGATGATAACATTCCCAGCATATGGAAAAATAGAAGCCATGTTCCAAACCACCAACCAGATAACTTTGCTCTACCATTCACAGTTTACGACTTACTTCAACCACCACTACTCCTGCTGGAATAACAAGCCCTTGGAGGCAAGGCCCCTAAAAAATGCCACGGTATGACCCATTTTAGCCAGTCAACCTGTTTCTATCTGTTTATGGTTCTCTTCGCAAAAATCAGAACCCATGCCCATAAATGCGAACAAAAAGGTGCTGGTATATTTACCTAACCTACAAAACTGGGTGATTTTTTATTATAGGGTAAATGTCGGTGTGCATATTCCAGCACCACTTCACTTCGCATTTGGGATGAATTGATCTGGTTGGTGGTTTCAAGCATCTTGAAAAGTGGGAAGGATTATTCCATATATTATGGAAAATAAGAAATGTTTGAAACCACCAACCAGGTACTATGCTATTGTATATGTAAACATGTATATTACAATGTGAGGCCCCCCTTCGATAGCGTTCAGTTGGTGCAAATAACTCCGATTTCACAAAATGGTTTATGGTATTTATAACGAACTAGTTACTGGGGCGAATCTAAACCAACAAACATCATATTTACTATACTTATAAATACCATAAATCATAGTTATTGGACTTATAAACCAACTATAGTTATAAACCATAGTAATATCCCCCGAAGTGAACACATGCCATGCGTCATGGGAAATCCACTCGCCTCAGGCGTCGAAAGGCGGTGTAGTCCAACTTCACGGCCAAGATGTCACCGCTGAAGGAGGCGACATGCGAACGTAGACCTTTGACAGAGAGCTCGTAGTAGCTGTGCAGTGTAATACTTGGTGCCATGAACTACATTGCTACATGTTCTATATATATATGTATGTATATATATATGTATGTATATATATATATATATATGTATGTATGTATATATATATGTATATATGTATATACTGTATATTAATATGTATATATATAATATATATATATATGTAATATGTATATGTAACATGTATATCACAAGATACAGATACACTTTATGGGCCATGTACTTCGATAAAAAAAACACACTGTACTTCGAAATGGTCCGATGTTCTGCATTCAAGTTAGTTTTTAAACAAACAGCAAAATACCCATGGTAAACTAACATAGCTATGGAAAATCACCATTTTTAATGGGAAAACTCACTATTTCTATGAGCATTTACAATAGCTATACGTTAAATTACCAGAGGGTAACATCTAAACATATCTAAACTAGTTCATACTAGTTCGATATATCTACCATAAACATCCATAAACAAATATCTGGCCAAATTACTTTAATTCTTACCTCGTCTCCCTCGTGTCTTAATTTGTTCCCCATGATTACTGTCCTCGTTCGTTAATTTGCAGGTGCAATTTAAGGCTTTACCTCGTCAATTCGAAGGAAGAAAGTAGCTTGTGGGCCTTCTTTCCAGGGTCCAACCAAAAGGAAAAAAACTTTTCAGCTTCCGAAAAGTTTTTTTCCACGATCCACGGTCTCTTGCAGGGATTTTTTAATCTGAGTCTGATCGGTCTTTGCGCTTCTTGCGCTTGGGTGGTGACATCTCTGACATTATCGCAGAGATGCAATGCTCTTCTGGAGCAACTCTGAATCCTACTGCTTCTGCAGCCGTCAACCCACGAAGCGGGCCTCTGGCGATAGAAAATAAAACTTTTTGGGGCCTGAAAAGTTTTTTTCCTTCCTTGCCTGCTGACCGGCCTCTGGCGATAGAAAATAAAACTTTTTGGGGCCTGAAAAGTTTTTTTTCCTTCCTTGCCTGCTGACCGGCCTCTGGCGATAGAAAATAAAACTTTTTGGGGCCTGAAAAGTTTTTTTTCCTTCCTTGCCTGCTGACCGGCCTCTGGCGATAGAAAATAAAACTTTTTGGGGCCTGAAAAGTTTTTTTCCTTCCTTGCCTGCTGACCGGCCTCTGGCGATAGAAAATAAAACTTTTTGGGGCCTGAAAAGTTTTTTTTTCCTTCCTTGCCTGCTGACCGGCCTCTGGCGATAGAAAATAAAACTTTTTGGGGCCTGAAAAGTTTTTTTTTCCTTCCTTGCCTGCTGACCGGCCTCTGGCGATAGAAAATAAAACTTTTTGGGGCCTGAAAAGTTTTTTTCCTTCCTTGCCTGCTGACCGGCCTCTGGCGATAGAAAATAAAACTTTTTGGGGCCTGAAAAGTTTTTTTTCCTTCCTTGCCTGCTGACCGGCCTCTGGCGATAGAAAATAAAACTTTTTGGGGCCTGAAAAGTTTTTTTTCCTTCCTTGCCTGCTGACCGGCCTCTGGCGATAGAAAATAAAACTTTTTGGGGCCTGAAAAGTTTTTTTTCCTTCCTTGCCTGCTGACCGGCCTCTGGCGATAGAAAATAAAACTTTTTGGGGCCTGAAAAGTTTTTTTTCCTTCCTTGCCTGCTGACCGGCCTCTGGCCTGCAAAAAAGTTTTTCTAGCCAAGCCCAAGCATGCAACAGAACCAATGCAAGGCTACCTCGTCGAGGTCGGCTAATTCTGATGAGCAAATTAAGGGCTGACCTCGCTAATTCCTGCAACCTGCCTCGTTGCCTCGGCTGGCCTCGCTATAATTTGTGCAGAAATATAAGACTCGTTGTTGTGACTGGCACACCTACCGGACCTACCGTTTCAAAGCCCCAGCTTCTGGCTTTATATAGGTACGCAAAGGGCCCATCCAAGTTTAAAACCGAAGTGGATGGCTACAATCCATGAAACTTCTGGGCTATCAGATATTATATGATATGATATTGTATAATGTATGGAATTAAACACACATATAAACAGATACAATGTGGGGCCCCCACACGATAGCCAAGTTGGTTTATAAATTCAATAACTAGGCTTTATGATGCTTACAACTATATTATTCATGGGGTTTATAAACCAACAAACACAACTTGGGGGGGGCCACATTGTAATCAAAAAGATCTTGTTTGATCCATACCATCCTCAAATCATCTCAAATCGATATTGTGCTGTGGCGAGTACAGTGGAAATACCAGTGAACATAAGGTTGAACACTAAATGCCGACCATACCATGCCCACATCTAAACCAAAAAACATGGTGGGTATATTTCTCCATGTAATCCCAATTTGTCTGTGTGTGTGTGTTAAATCAACGTTTCTTGTCAACTCTCATTTACTTTTGTTAAATCCTCTCTTGGATAAATGGGTCCGTCCAAAAAGATGCTACCCCCAAATCCAGTTTATCACTCTTTTCCCATTCAACATGTCCATATAGGTTTTTATTGTATCACGATGGTGAACAATCCCAAATCTCAGGTTGTTTGGTTACTAACTGATCATGCCAATAAACAAGTAATTCACGAACAAAATCTACGCAAAAATTGGTTTATTAGTTGTTTGATAAATAATTTTCTCGCCCATAAAATCAATAAACCACTGACAACTGATACTGGTTGGTGGTTTCAACCCCTCTGAAAAAATATCAATCAGTTGTTCACCTTATTCCCAATATATGGAAAAATATAAAATGTTCCAAACCACCAACCAGGATACCACTTCATGCTTGGTATCCTTTCAACCCAAGAAATAAAGCAGTCAATCACCAAGCAACGCCGTGGCGCTCGATTCGGATCATCTTCCGGAGTGATCCTCGTCAGAAGCGATTTTCTTGTGGGAAACATGCCTGCCATCATAGCTGGTTGGTGGTTTTAACCATCTTGAAAAATATGAAAGTCAATGGGAAGGATTATCCCATATATTATGGAAAATAAATAATGGTTGAAACCACCAACCAGATCATAGTTGCAAGGTGACATTTGAAGGGATTTTTTTATGGGATTTGATGATGATTTGCCTCAAATTTCATGAGATCTAACGGGATTTACCCAGATCGAAAGAGCGAAGTTAGTTTACAACTCAAGTAACAATAGTTTATGGATGTTTATGGTAGATACAGCTATAGTTAGTGACGCTTACAAACCAACTTATTACTAGCCCATCTTGCAACTTCTGCGTAATTCAAAACTGAGGTTTCTTGTTCATAGACTCATAGACCATGACCAGTCCTAAAGCTGACTGTATGAGGTCTATGGGCCTAAGCAGCCAAAAAAAAAGGGGATGGATTTGGAAAATCATGGGATGTATCATACACAAATGAACGCATATCCGGCAGTCTCCAACAATAAGAGATGGGCTTCTGTGAAAATTTCACGGGTCATGGATTCATGGATGGGCTCCCATCTTCTGGCAACTTTTAAAACGGATTTTTTTCAAATGTCTAAAGCATTGGACGGGCAACAAAATCAACAACTTCAGGGCAAAGCATGTGGATCAAAAGTCTCCAGATTTCTGGAGGTGTCCGTTTTAGTCGGTCATAGGGGGACCCCCAGTTTTCATCCATTTTACATGCGGATATGACTTAAATCAACCATCCATTTCGCTCGCTTGGGGCTACCCCCATGACCCAGGAAAAGTCCCTTAAATTCTCCAGGTTCCCCTTGTGCTTAAGCAACGAGTCATGGGATCCGCATCAGAAATTTTATTGTACTTTTTCCTAAACCAAAATTTCTTCCAAGGGCACAAAAGGAAGTGCTTGAAAGATGTTGTTTCCTTAAATCAACCCAACCCATATGCTCCATGTATGGTATATTTACCTACAAAACTGGGTGATTTTGTTCGGGTAAATGTTGGTAAATATTCTATACATGGAGCATATGGGCAAGTTTGTTGGTTAACATTGGTTTTAAACCCCATCGGGACTACATAGATGGTAGTATAACCCTGATTATGATAACCTCTAATTGGGTGTATACATTAAAGATACCCTCTGGTAATTTAACATAACTATGGAAAATCACCATTTTTCATGGGAAAACTCACTATTTCATTTATAACCCCAATTAAACCCAATTTAATCATTTAATTGGGTGTATACATTAAAAATAATTGACCGACAATAGATATTGCCTTAGATCAACCTCAAAATAGATAGACAAATTGGAAACCTGAACATGATTAGGGGGAAACATCATCGAACTACCATCCTGGTTTCACAGTGTTCGGCCTCTTTTTCGGGGATATTTACTTAGTGTATACTCAAAGACGGCAACCCCACCGCAGTCTATTCAAAGGTATATCCGTACATCCGATCCATCATTAATCAATCTCTATGTTTAGGTACCCTCTGGTAAACATACAAAAAACTATGGAAAGATCCACCATTTTCAATAGCTTTTTGTACGTTTACCAAAGGGCACATCCCATCCATATCTAATAAATCCGTAAATCGGATCATGAGACGCTGCCATAACTACGGAAATTCACGACCGTTTCCAAAAGTAAATCAACGAACTTTAAATAAGGGCCATTTTCTATAGCTAACTGTTGGTCATTACCAGAGACTATTGTTCTATTTGTCCAGTTTCAATTTATTGATAGTTTTCCATATATGTTTTCCGTATGTTTCCTACAATGTGAGGCCCCCGTTCGATAGCGTTCAGTTGGTTTATAAGTCCAATTTAACTAGGTAACTAGGGTAAATTGGTATTTATAACTAGAAACTGGGGCTTTTGTTAACCAACTTAGCTATCGAACGGGGGCCTCACATTGTATATATGTTCCTATATTCCTCGAAAAAAAATCCAGGGATTCCAAGCTGTGCCAAGCAGCAGTGAATCAGTCCCCAAGACCAGGATGTTCACCATTTCCTGTCGCATTTTTCGGTAAAAAAAATGGAACACGAATGATGGAAAATCACCATGGTTTTGTTCTAACCCATATGCTCCATGTATGGTATATTTACCTACAAAACTGGGTGATTTTGTTCGGGTAAATGTTGGTAAATATTCCAGCACCATGGAGCATATGGGTAATAGATAAATCAGATTTTCCTATGGATCCAAGATGATCCAAGATGATCCTTTTGGTGCCTTCAAAAAGGAAGTACTTGGGGATGATTATTTCGGGGGTGAAGTACCTTCTCAGACTTGTTTCCATAGCATAAATGGCTGAATTAAGGCTGATTATAAGTTAGAATTACCTAATAAATTGTTTAATAACTGATTTTATTGCCTGAATCAACCTCACCATGATGGTAACTCAGCATAAATCATTGAACTAAAAGGGCAATTTTCCATAGCAAACTGTGAAAAATAACCCAACACCATATGATATATACATATATGCTAATCCATAGGTAAGTGAATATTTTGGGTCTATAATTATAAGTTTGATGTGTTCGAATCTAAATATAGAAATTTGTGACTATATATACAAATATATGTATGATAAAATGAATATGTATATACAATATTATAAAATGTGTATGTGTATATATATACATACATACATATAACATGTATAAATACATTGTCAACCCTGGATGGAAGTGAAGCTATTAGCCTGTTGGTTGGGATTTCTTGCGGGTACTTGGATTCGTCATGGATTCTCAATCTGGGGTTGAGAACTAATGCAAACCATCATCCAACCATCATCCGACCATCGTCCGACTTTAATCCCACCATCGTCCCACCATCATCCAATGTTCATCCACCCATCATCATCATCATCATCATCATCACCATCACCACCATAATCATCACCATCATCATCCTTATCCACATTATCATGCATTATCCTCCCACTCACCCACACTGTTTGGGGTCTCTAGCCAGGATAATAGAAAAAGACGCATATGAATTATTGGCTACTGACATAATCAATGGATCATGAGGAATCATGCATATATATATATATATATATATCGAGATGTAGCCCAGCTGTGGTGGGTCAAAACCTTGTTTTTCCCCAGTGACCTTCCTCACACTGAACAGAAGCGGCATCGAATTCAGGAAATAATGAGATATAACAAATGATATAGTCTTTGTCATAGTCATCGTCATCGTCATCATGATCCTCATCCTCATCCTCATCCTCATTTTCATCTTCAATCGATTTCAAACGATTTCAATCTCTATTCCACCTACCCCTCTCAGCTGCAAATTTCTCTGCCTGCAAATCCTCAAACTCCAAATCGGGATGGTAGGTGAACAAAAGTCTCACCAACGTCCTCGGAGATTTCCCAATGGGATGTCTCTTCTGAAGGTGGGGAAGTGACAGGATTTGCTTTCAAAAAAAAGTCCCAGTCACTTTTCGAAGACAGAACATATACGTTCGCCCTGTTCGAGACGTTGATGTGAGTGTGGTTGACATTAATAGCTTCATGTGGGCAATGTGAGTACTTTTGATAAACTAGCTTTTGATCTTTCAGGTGTGATTCGTAGAAAAGCAGAAAAGCAGAGAAGCAGGAAAAGCAAAGAAGCAATGAAAGCAGAAAAGGAGAGAAGCAGAAAAGCAGAGAAGCAGGAGAAGCAGAAAAGCAGAGAAGTAGAAAAGCAGAGAAGCAGGAGAAGCAAAAGGCAGAAAAGCAGAGAAGCAGGAAAAGGAAAGAAGCAATGAAAGCAGAGAACCAGGAACCCCAACAAAAATCCAAAACCTTACCCAAATTGCTTGGGGTTGAAAAGTAACTATTGATGTTACTTAGTCAATTTTGAAACCCCCATAGGGTAAATTAACCCTCTATTACTCGTTGTTCTTTATTTTTCACAACGGCTCCCGATGGATTTTTTCCAAGGCGCTCCACACCCAACATTGAGGAAGACTCGTCCTTCAAACGATCGAACCTTAGCCAATTAGCCAAGGGTTGGGCTGCTGTATGCCTTCTGAATGCTGGTCAACCTCAGAGTCCTCAGAGGTTTCCAAAAAGTGTTTCTATTGATTTCAAAGCCGGTAAAACAACCACCAGTTTAGGCAAGTTTTTGTGAGTTTCGCTTCAAACAGATTCTTTTCAGAGGGGTGTAGAGGGTTCAGCGCGTATAAAAACTGACGTGTTGTGCAAACCAGTTGGAGACTTGAACTCGTGCCGTGCCCACCCATTGGTTCCACGTCTACTGGAACCTTGTGGGATCACAGTTCGCACATCTGGTTGGTGGTTTCAACCTACCCGTCTGAAAAATGATGGAGTTCGTCAATGGGAAGGATGACATCCCATGTATGAAATGGAACATTAAAAATGTTTGAAACCACCAACCAGCACGTTGCTAACCCTGGCAGTCCAGGTTTAACCAATGGAAAACCCTGCCCAAGCAGCTGCTCTTTGATAGATCTCTCTTCCATGTCTGTATTCGTCAGGGCCTTGGCGCGGCGCGAGTTGTGGCACCGTTTTGGGGGTGCCAATTCTCTGAGGCACCATGAAATCATGAAATTGGTGGTCACTTGGAAGATCATCAAAGCAGAATCCATGCAAAAAGACTTCAACCCCCTTTTTGCCCAATCAGTTCTATACAGTCTATACCTATCTTTGTTGCTTTAGTTTCCTACCCCGAGATAGGGTAAATTGAACCATATTTCACCTGAAATAATCCATGGCCATTTCAGGAACCTAAATTGGAGGCACCTACCTTTTTACAGGATCCTGAAATTCCCATTGAAAAATTCGGAGAAATCAGGACAGCTATGGCAGCTGTGGGGATATATTCCCAGAATAAGTACTAAACCATAGTAATAACCATACATTAACCCATATGGTACATTAACCATACTATATGGTTATTACTATGTTAATAGTATTATTATGGTTAATGTACTTATTATTATGGTTATAGTAAACCATGTACTTATTACTATATAACCATAGTATAGTAATCATATCTTAACCCATGGAGGATTTCCTGAATCTTCCCTCAAAATTTCCAGGATATCCCCGGGTACCTTCTTAGGCTTGCTAGCTTCACGCGGCCTCAGTGCTGCGGTGTTTTACCGGGAAATCATGAAAATCTTGGGCACATACAAAATAGCAGTAGTGTTATATATATATATATATGGATGTGTCTGAAAATAGTGTACCCCTAAACCCAATGGTTAATGATCATTATCCCTATTAAATGGCTATAATTGGGAATATACCCTATTTTCAGACAAACCCATATATACCCATAGGATCCATGTATGGTATATATGCTAACATGACTGGGGTATATTGATGGGATCCATGTTACTATATATATAGCATACATGGATCCTATGGGATATATCATCTGGTTATTTAACATAGCCATGGAAAATCCCTGAACAATGGAGGTTTATAGCTGAGGAAATCATCTATAAATGGGCCATGTTCCATGGCTATGTTAAATAACAAGAGGGTATATACTGTTGTTTTATATAGTTATACACATGTATATATATATATATGTGTATATATAGGCTCGTCCCCGCTTCTGGAACCACATGGGGTGGGGGGGGTGGGGTGGGGTGGGATGTTAACGTTCATGTGACCTTGCGGCAGGATGTTAACGTTCATGTGAACTTGCGGCAGCAGTGGATGCTACGCACATGCGGGGTGGGGGGGGGGGGGTGGGATGTTAACGTTCATGTGACCTTGCGGCAGGATGTTAACGTTCATGAACCGCGCAAACCTGAATTAGGTTGGTAAAACTTGTCCATTCCGTGACGAAATTTCGTCGCGGAATTAACAAGTTTCATTAGGGTCATTATCATCATCATTATCATGATGATGATGATGATGAAGATAATGATGATGATGATGATGATGATGATAGTGATAATGATGATGATGATAATGACCCTAATGAAACTTGTTAATTCCGCGACGAAATTTCGTCACGGAATGGACAAGTTTTGCCAACCTAATTCAGGTTTGCGCGGTTCCAGAAGCGGGGACGAGGCTATATATACATATATGTATATATATGTGTGTACATATATATATATACATATATATATATATGTATATATATATATATATATATACATATATATACATATATATATATATACATATATATATATACATATATATATATACATATATATATATACATATGCATATTGTTTTATAGTTATAGTTATGTATATATATATATATATATAGAGAGAGAGACATATACTTGCGTCATGTGTATTTATAGATATCATACATGCAGAGTCTACACATATGGATCTGGGTCAGGATTTCCAAAAGATGACCGCAGCTGGTGAAGTGCACAAAGCGGTGGCTGAAACAGCCCATCAACCCCACCAACAAGCCTAGCCAACTGGGTCGAGTAAGAGAGGGATCCATAAATCATATAAAAGATTACAATGTGGGGCCACCTAGAAAGCTAAGTTGGTTTATAACTTCAATCGCTAGGGTTTATGATACTTATAACTATAGTTAATGGGGTTTGATCATCATTTTCCCATCATTTTCCCGATGAAAATGGGCATAGCTGGGAGTAATGCGGTTAAAATAAGAATAAACCACCCATTTGGGAATGGTAAACATACCACCCATAAAAATGATGATGACTAGGGGATGGTTTATTATAAAAAAATTAACCACATTATATGCATTCTAAGACAAAACGTGTGTCAATCACTCTCATTTCCTTAACTTTTCTCATTTCTACCCTCTGGTAATTTAACATAACTATGGAAAATCACGTTTTTTCATGGGAAAAATCACTATTTCTATGGCCAAACTGTTAATCATTACCAGAGGGTATTATCCATTATATCCCCAAACAAAATCACTATAAATCCCTATAAATCTCCATTATGAGGGTATTACCATCCTTCTCTAGGGAAACCCGGTTGTTGTTTTTTTTTTGTTAGTCATTACCAGAGGATAAATTTCAATAAAACCACGGGATTTCCCCCAAAAATTCCCTCCGACAGTGCCACTTCTGGCGGGGCGGACGTAATGTCTCTTGCGAAGTCGCCGGTTTTGCTGCTACGACTTGACCTGTTTTTGTGGCCAGGCTTCACAAATGTGGAGAGAAAAGGATGGATACCATTTGGTTATGGTTAATATATATCGGTTAATATATGATTAATACATGGTTAATATATTGGTTATATAATATATGGTTATATAATATTATATCATATATGGTTACTACTCTGGTTAATATATGGTTACTATATGGTTAATATATGGTTACTACTATGGTCAATATATCCCCAATTCTCCGTGTATGGTATATTTGCCTACATTTACCCCCCATATATAGCGACCCAAAATGACCCAGTTTTGTAGGTCAATATTCCAGCACCATGGAGCACATGGGCATAGTAGTTTAGTTCGTAACTAGATGTTCAATATTGATTCAATCACCATTCTGAATGTAGCAGCTTATCATCATGTGAAAATCATCTATGTCTAGGGGCCATGAAAATACCATAGCTGTCACGCCGCAGCTATCACCAGAGGGTGATCGTCATCCCAAGGGATGCAAAAATGCTACACCCAATCATAAACCATCCCCTAGTCATCATCATTTTTATGGTTTTTATAAACAGTTCATTATGGTTTATGGCATTGGCACGCCTAATGGTATATTGAGTTTTTGAGGATAATCATACTTTTATTATGTTACGTTTTTCCGGTCAAAACCCTGGAACACTGACGTCAAAATAGCTGGTAAATGGATGTTGGTCCAAAAAATGTGATCATACAGCTTTAACCCGTCCCCAGTTTACCTCAAAAAAATGAAGCAAAGTGATACTGTTGTCTTGCACTATGCTACATTGGTTTCCTCCTTCATGAGGCCAATAATCATGACGACTTGATATTACATGCTCTTGATATTGATAATGACTATAAATAAACTAATAAACAATCAGGCTGATCATAATATCTGTGTTTGACCATAGTTCTGTCGTGTGATTACAGAATTCGCTAAACAAATCAATCAACATTCTGGTCCTCATGCTTACACCAAACAAAGATAAACAACGAGTCCACAGATCATTTTCTCCGCAAAGCATTCACCATTGCTTAACCAAGAATCTATGTTGGAGTAGAGTCTGTTATAAATCCAAAAGATCCTCAAATGCTGGGACGTATTTTGGCATATTGGAATTAGAAAACTACAGGATGGGGCCCCCAGTCGAGCTCGCTTACTCAGTTGCCGAACAGAAAAGTGGCTGAAAAGACCATGGTTGATGGTAGAATATTGGTAGATATAACATAATATAACTAATAGTATTCATAACCCACTAGTTTTCATGGATATTCATGGCAGTTGTCTCATGTTTTTTTTTCAACCAACAGCAACACTGGGGGGAACCCATCCTGTAGCAGTCCTGGAATCTGCATATCATCCCACCGTCCGAAAGTCACAAAAACAAGACGCCCGGAAGTTCAAAAGCCAGAGATTTATTTTTCGGGATATTAATATGGGATTTACCCTGTGGTAAACATACAAAAAACGAACTGGAAAATCACAATGATTAATGGGGAAAATCAACTATTTCTATGGCAATTTTCAATAGCTATGTTAAATTACCAGAGGGTAAAATGGCTTAACCAATAAGATGGAATTTTTATAAAAACCAATCATTAATGGTATATTCACATCAGCAAATAAAATTACACTCCACCCATTATTCAATGGGATTTTTGTTTACCCACTTCGTAAATCTTTGTCACTAAAGTTCTTCCACAGCTTACCTTCACTGTGGGAGACTTAAGTTCATTCCAACGGCTGGTCGAAAGTCTCATTCATCATGCTTCCAGGCTATACTTCCAGTATTAAAAAAACCTTTAGCATACCTTGGAACTGAAGAATGATACATGTAATACTGGTTGGTGGTATACCTGATACATGACTGGTTGGTGGTTGAGCCTACCCCTCTGAAAAATATGAGTTCGTCAGTTGGGATTATTGTTCCCAATATATGGAAAGTCATAAAATTCGTGTTCCAAACCACCAACCAGAATATATTGGTTCATGAATTTAGTGAAAAAATGACCCATGGGAATGCCCAGTAAATCGGAAAACCGCCCTGAAATCCAGACTGCCAGCTGTCCAACAGTCTCGAAGTTGCAAAACGAGGCCTGGGCTCCCAGAAACTTTGAGAGCCCACCCTAAACGATGAGGGTAAAGTTGGTAGATAAAGGGGCAACATGATTTTATATTATATGGATATGGATCAATACCTAATAATACCATTTTTAGGGGGATGAACATCCATTTACCAGCTATTTTGATGTTCACCAGGGGTACAAGGTTTTGACCCACTGCCATATTAGTGTGACATGAGCTATTGGTAGTGTACTTGGTAGATCAATCGGTATGTTTGGTCCATGTAAGTGGCAAAAAATGGTTTGAAACAACCCTTCATCATTAGGTAACCACCCCAAATACATGGTCCGAAAAACCACAATGAGATACAATGAACAATATTGTGTTGTTGCTTGAAAATTAGGTAGAACATAAAGCTAAGAAGGGATACGTGTTCATGGCCGTATTATTCACCAACAACAGTAAGGGCGAACCATCCAACCATCGATTATGTTGATGCGGTCACCGTTGGGGCGTCGCATTTCCGTATGATCAAACATTGAACATTACCCTCTGGTAATTTAACATAGCTATTGAAAATTACCATTTATAGTGGATTTACCCATTAAACATGGTGATTTTCCATAGTTATGTGAGTTTACTAGAGGGTAACTCACAATAACCAAAGTTAACGTTGAATCCGTATGTTTTTTTTCATGTTTAACTCACCCAAAAGTGGGATGGGAGCAACAGCAGTGCGAATTTCTCCCACACAGCTGGGAAATGAACATCAGACAGACAAACAGACAGACAGACAAACGGACGGACGGACATACATACATTACAATCATTACATTACATTTATATTTAAATTTGATTACATTACGTTGCATTACATTGCATTGCATTACATTACATACATATATATATATGTACATGGACACATATATATATATATATGTACATGTACATATATATATATATGTGTGTGTATATATATATTTATATTTATTTACTGTTTTTGTGGTTATTTCTATGTGAGCGTATGTATACATCATGTAGACATATTTGGATTTATACGATATATGATTACAACTAAGCTATCTAGAAATTTCTATGGTTGGATCTACCAAACGTATACCATACACACTACATACACCATATAAATGTTCAGGAAATACCAAAAAATTAAAGAGATATAGAAAATACATGGATAGAAACGGATATACAAGTACCGTGCATTCTGTTTGTATAATATATCATATATACATATACATCTGACTGGCGGACAAAATTATATGTTAAATTCAATGCCATGAACAAACTAGAGTCGTCCCCTATCGTTTGTGAGGATTTCAGTATTCCCGGAGGTATCACAAATGGGGTATCGGTATAGGGTCATCCCCTATCGGTTATGAAGGTTATGTGCAACCTGAGAAGCAAGACTAAATTCGTATTACACTAATTTTGTCGGTTACTCATATATATATATATATACCATTATAGCCATATAATCCATGTGTGGAATATTTACCAACATTTACCCTAAAAATCACCCAAATGTAGGTAAATATACCATACATGGAGCATATAGGATATATATATATATATATGTATAGATAGATATATATATATATATACATATATATATATATATATAAATGTATACACACATACATAGATATTTGTATATATATACATATATACATATATATATATACATATATATATAATATATATAATATATAATATATACTATATACTATATAATATATAATATAATATATATACATATATATATATATGTATATATGTAAATATATATATATATATGTATATAGATATACATATATATATATATACATCTATATATATATATATATGTGTAAATATAGATATACATCTATGTATATATATATATGCATATATCATACGGACAGCGCAATGAATCAGAGGCCTTTGTCCAAGTGTCTCTGAAGGCGACTTCGCCAGTGAGCAGCAGGTGGTGGGCGTCCAGCCCACCCCTGGATTCGCTTCCTGGCCATGGCCACGGTGGAGCACTTTAAAAATCATTGAAGAGGTGTGAAACATATGAAGACTGGGGAACAAAAATGGGTATAATTTTCATTTTTTAAGGTACGCCAAAGTTTATATGAATTTATATGAGTATTGTACACCAAAATCATGGGTTTCAATACTAAAATGGACTGATTTGGGGATGATTGGGGGGTACCCCAGGGCTAGGAAACCTTCAAATGGAGATGAGTCAAAAATAAAAACGTAGTGGACCAAACTATTTCAAATATAGTATTTTTTTAGTATTAACCATCCAACTATTGGGGTACCCAATTTTGACCCATACCCATATATGTACGTGGCCCTTTACCAGCTATAAGTACTGAAACAACCCAATTTATGGAAGGTATAATCCCATTTAAAACCAGTTATAACTAATAAATGGCCATAACTGTATGCCCAAATCCTACCAGTTGGTGTGGGCCTGTGGCGGCAGAAGTTTGGGGTTGGTTTTTATCTTTGTCATGGATGCCTTTGTGGCCATCGTCTTTGCTTCATTCATCGGAGCGCCGTTTGTTGTATTCGTGGCGCCTTTGATCCCCGTTTTGCAGATCAATGGACTTGTACCTCTTCTACATGCTGAGGATTTGGGAGCTCTCATCTGACTTTGCTGTGGCAGGCAGCTTGTTCTACTTTGGCGCTCTATTTTGGTGGCTTTGGTCGGCTTTGATTTCGGGAGAACCTTGAACTACGGTGCCTGAGAAATGCCCATGCTGCTTCGTGCAGCTGCGTGACATGGACCGATGGAACTTTGTAGCAAAGATCTTCCTCCAGATTTGTGCCGTCTCACTGCTGACCTAGAGTCTACACAACACAAACATCAGAAACGCGGACTGTTTCTGCGGACTGGGTCGATGGGACCTGAGGCTTGAGAGCAAAGTATGGCACGGGGTCGCCCCATCCAGTTTGCAGTTCTTCATGAGACCTGAACCTCCGGGCTGCGCTGGGCCGGTCACAGCATTTTTCCAAGGTCAATGCGTCCGTTCTTCTCAGCACCTGACACACGTACCCTCTGGTTATGACTAACATAGCCATGGTATAGATGGCCCATTTATAGATGATTTTCCCAGCTATAAACCTCCATTTATGGTTGGGATTTTCCATGGCTATGTTAGTCATAACCAGAGGGTAATTTAAAACCTCGTGGCTTCGGAGCTTGCTCTTGACAGAGTGTTGCCGATCCCAAGCATCCCAAGCATCCCAACCTGTTCCGTGATCTGGCGCCGATGGTGGAAAATCTCTGTGCAGCACCCGAGCTCATAGGAGTGGAGAGACTCTCTCTGCAGCGAACAATATATATATATATATGTGTGTCTATGATCTGAAATGATCCAATTTGTATATCTATAATTTTGCATATGTAATATAATATTATATATGTATATATGCATATGTATATATAGGGCGAAGGCTGGGGGTTCCCCGGAAGCCAATTGCATTTTATTTGTGTGGATATGGAAAATGTTGATTTTACACTGTGATTTACAGTGTTTTATGCTTTTCTCTGAAAGTGTTCGATCAGCCAGAGTTTCAGTGTCGGCGCGGATAAACTTGACATTTGTCCGCGCAGACAAATGATACATTTACATCTTCAATGGATGGCCAAAAATGTGTGCAACATTCTAACTATTGGACTTGCGGTTTCATGCATTTTAGGTCGTTTTGTTGATAACTAGAAAATGTCATAATTCACTGGAGAACCACGGACGAAATAAACATCACACCTTTCTCATCTTCATGTCCACAAAGGCTTTTTGAAGCAGTTGCTTGGAGCGAGAGCAACAACGATACTTACAACGTAGCAACATTGTCAACGAAGCAACATCTTCAAGGTTTCCACAACTCTGAGTCCAACGCACTCCACATGACGTTATTACACCCCCCCACCCCCCCCACCCCCCTTCTGTAAACGACAACGATACTTGCAACGTAACAACATCTTCAACAAAGCAACATCTTCAAGGTTTTCACATCTCTCAATGCAGCGCACTCCACATGACGTTATTACACCCCCTCCACCCCACCCCCCATCTCTATACCATAACGACGTTTGTAGTATAGGCTCAAGACTGAGGGTTCCGGGGAACCCCCAGCCTTGAGCCTATATATATATATAAATTATGTGTATTGTCAGTATTGACAAGTGTTGGAGCTGTTTACAATATATGGGCTTCAAAGAGAAATGATTGGTGGAAGAATCGAGAGAACATTGCTGTGGGTCCCTGGCATTTCTCATTTCAGAAACAGCTCCAAAACAGCATGGCTGGTGTTACAAGGCAGCCAACAAAAACACTTAGGTTTTGGCTCACAAAGGGGGCCCAACGGAGACCCATTGCGAAAAACAAGTGTTGTATTTGACAATGCATTACTGGGAGCAAACTACCAACACAGCATACTTAAGCGACATTTCTGACACCAAAAAAAGTCGGTTAGCCTACCCCCAGAAAACAAAAAAGGTAGCCGCCAAGTAGCAACAGGAGTTTCTCACCTCCCAGGTTTCATCTTGGGGGTCATCCCTCATGTTCGGGCAAACAGAAACATCATCTTATCTGCATAGAACACTGGTTGAATCTATATGTTTCAATGGTTAAAACATGTAAAAATGTGAAGAACTGCTAGTTGAATCCGCAAATCTCGGACTGGTCCTGCAAAAGCTCGTAACTTTGTTGCTGCAAAAGTTGAAAGGCTTTCACTAAACCTGCAGGTGGCAGCCGGCTCGAAGTTGGACTGCGAAGGGTTGAGGTTTGTAATCACTGGGTTTACATCTATGGGAAAATTCGGAATTGATATCCATGGAAAGGCTTGAGCGTTGTAACTACTGGGTTGATATCGGAAATCATATGGAAATCCCAGAGGTTGAGTTCCGTGGCTGTTCAGAATCCAAAGACACAAAGGCACAAACGTCAACTCAAGGGCTCAGCAACATGTTGGGCAACATGTTGAAAGGTTGGTCTATGAGAATTTTCGGAAGCTACCCGGCCTGGTAAACATACAAAAAGCTATGGAACATGGTCTAAAATTTAGTTCGATGGTTTACCGAACTTAATAGCATGGTGATTTTCTAGGATCCTGAATTTTCCATTGACAATAACTAACATAACTATGGAAAATCACCACTTTAATAGGTAAATCAACGAACTAAATGGCAATTTTCCAATTCGCAAACTGTTAGTCATTACCAGAGGCTACAGGAACTGCCGGCCTAGACATCCCATGAAGACGAGATCCGTGTGAGAAACTGCCTGTTTTTCGTATCCCCCAACAGGATACTTCTTGAGATTCGCCATGATTTCCGGGTGGTTGGTGGTTGGAATTTACCACATCTGTTTGTCTTAAGTCTTCACAATGTGGGGCCCCCAGACGTGATGTTTGTTGGTTTACAAGCCCCAGTAACTAGTTCGTTATAGATACCATAAACCATAGTTATTGGAGTTATAAACCAACTTAGCGATCTTGGGGGCCTCACATTGCATGAAGATGTCCAGAGGGATCTTGCCAACGTTGCGCAATTATTGCAACCCTTTGTTTTGTTTAGGCTCCAGCAATTGCCCATACATCACCCTGAATTATGGTGTCAACAAAACGAAAACAAACAAACCATATTCGTCAAAGGAACAACAGGAAGTACAAAAGAAACCAACAACTACAATAAATCATGATGCCAGAAGCAATTGGCGACACCATTATGAGTCAAAACCTTGGGACCCTAGGTACCCTAAGATTAGCTGGTTGATGGATGTGTTTTTTTAAAGAAGGTGGGGTGTTGTGGAGGGCTGATGTTTTTTTTTACGATGTTTTGTGCGTGTTTTTTTGTTATTTTGATGTCCAATGTTTCTTTCACATTAATATTACTTATTGTCCCTGAACAACCCTGTACACATACATAAGATAGTTAAGATGAACATAAAGTATATCCCTTATTCTTATATTCTCTTATTTTTTGAAAATTATAAACAAACCTGCTGCAGTTTTTTTCTAATGTAGAATATGTTGACAATACCTTGAAGTAAAACATATATTTCTCTCTTTCTCTTCCACAGCATGGTTTCCTTGATATATCAGCATAAACTAGGTGTGTTATGAAAAGAGCTGTGTATTCTACGTGATTGAGCTGGATACATCTCACAAGGAAAACTAAATTAACCATGTCCTATATCTTGATGATAATTGCATCAGCAAAGGAACAGTTAAACTTATGTTGCAAAAACCTCTAAAACAAAAAAGGCATCCCAGTCCCAAACTCTTCAATGGAAACAACTCTGCTTGGAATTAGAAGGACCCCAAAAACAGACTCAAAGAATCCAACGTGGAAAGTGAGGGTTAGGGTCAAGCCTTACAACCCAAGACATCCCTATCACAAGGCACCATGGCAATGCATGCAGCACTCTAAATCCTTTCATTTACTGCTCATGTCATGCTAAAGGGCGCTTGTCCTCAACCCAACCATATAATGACATAATCAAATTTATATACAATCTTATCATACTAGTCTAGATTTATAGGAATACATTGACATATATCGGTTTCAACCTGATCCATGGCAAACACATTCCAAGAACTTGGCCCCAAAAAGAAAAAAACAAATCGAATTCTCCTGGTATATAACAATGCTTTTACCACTCCCTTGTGCAAATTTCCCTAGCAAACTAGGAATGCAAAACAAAAAAAGGAGCTCGGAATATCCAATACAATCAGTGCAATCTGGCAGCCCACAGAGAAATTGCACACAATTACTGTGTTCAAATCAAGCATGCCTATGATAGAGAATACCCTTGCATAATGTTGAGATATGTAGATGTCCTTCTTAGTTTGTAGGCTGGCAAAATTGTTGCTAGATAATGTGGAAGGAATTTTGACAAATATTGTCCATAGCAACACCTATGGAAGTAACCTTTGGCTAATAATATTGCCAAGGATGTATGTATACAGTTATGGTAAGGAGAAGGCCTACAATACTTTGTCATTGGAAAAATGTGGAATTTGACGCATTGTTTGGCAAAATTTGGTTTGGCTGAACTAGTATGGCAAAGGTGGTTATAACTATCATTGGAAGTTATAGTTCTCATTCATGGCTGCTAATCATCAAAGGAAATAGTAATTGCAACTTGCCATACGTTGCCACAAAAAATGATACATAGAAAAGGAAACTTGGTAGCATTATTTCTCTGTATCTTAAATTAGATTAATCATCAATGTTCAGAGTTTGACAAAATCATCTGCACATCGAATGAGGGTACATTGGTCATACCAAAACTGAAGAAATATATGATATACATTGCAGGTATTTTGAAGGTTACTTGCACAAAAAACACAAAAATATATTCATGTATTGGCATGCTGAATATAGCCAGTTTTGACATACAACGATGGCGCTATCTTCACATCACTCTTGATCATTTTTTTCTTGCTGTGTATCATGCAATGGCCCATTGGCAGAATTATAATATTTATGGAACATTCTTGGCAACAAAATAATATTTATGAAACATTCTTGGCAACAAAAAAACTTTCATCAAAGCCTTTGAACATTAAAATTCCAACGGACCAAAGAAACCGAATGGTTTGAAAGGCCCGGACAGCTGCCGGATTGACACTGCGGAGCCGACCGGGCAGACCCGACGGACAATCGAGCGGATCCGTCCGGCCGGTATTATCGGTATTGTAGTGCCAATCCGGACTATAATCCAAAGTATCTGGTGACGTTAGTATGTCAAAGCTGGTTTCCTGGGGTCTGAAGGAGGGGGACCATGTTTTTTTTGCCCCCCACCCCCTTCAGAGAGGTCTAGAAGGTGAAAAAAATCGAGTTTTAGGGTTTCCAAAGGTCTCGAGGAGGAAGAGAGAAAAGAAAAACAGAGATATCTATACAAAAAGCTTAGTAGCAATGTATTAATCTAAAATGTGACCCATATATGTTCATTCCTCTTTCTGCATTGAGCTGATATGGTTGAAAGTTAATATTTTATTGGAAGGTGTAGCTAAAATTGTTGTTGATATTCTAAGTTTGTATATTAACATATATTAGCACAAGGAAGTATAAAATGAAACATAACTTTCGTTTTGATTGATCTTAATAACCTAAGCCACATAGTAAACAAATATCACAAAGATAATTGAAACAGTGAGAATTTGATGATATAGTGACTTTTACAAAACACCGTAAAAGCCAGCCCTCTACAACGTCCCTTTCTGTTCTTTAAATATGGTAGTACTAGGCTTTGCCCGCCAATGTACGAAACCAAAAATGCTGATTCCGACTTCGTTTTCAACATCGTCAAAAACAACGCTGTCAAGGCATGCCCCAAGCCATGGTGTGATCTTCTCAAAGGTTACCCTTTGACAATCCAACCCAGTTGGTTCCACAAGACTAGTGGAGTCATTGACGCTGGTTTTACCATCAAAAAAAACATTATATCCAACCCCATTCCATATATATATATATATCATGTACCCTCTGGTTATTTAACATAGCCATGGAAAATGGCCCATTTATAGTGGATTTACCTATTAAAAATGGTGATTTTCCATGGCTATGTTAGTCATAACCAGAGGGTATATATCATATATATCATATCAATCTCCCATGTGTTGGCATTTTGTTGGAATAAAAATGGTTGGAATGCAGGCTTGGATGCTTTATTTTTTTACAAAAAACGCCATCATCTTTCCTAAAGAAATCCGTATATGTTCCCCATATCCGGCCCCCATCAACATAACTATATGTAACCGTATATATATATATATGTTCCCAGCTGAAAAATATAGTACAATATATACTATACCTCCCTTATATAGTTATCATATATACCTCCCTTATATGGTTATCATATATACCTCCCTTATATGGTTATCATATGTGTATATATATATTATTTTTTTTCCCCCATATAAAGTTCCCACCTGCTAGGTGCCCTTCAAAGAGATCGTTCGCATCCACAAAGCGCTGCTGTGGCGTCACCGGCGATCCATCGACTCCATCAACTGTTTCGCCTGTCGTGCAGGGGCCATATACATTCTGCATAAAATCGATATATATATATATACATACATTGTATAATATATATATATACATTATATAATATATAAATATACATTTATGTTTATACATTTTATGTATGTATATATATATAACTACATCTAAATATACGGATTTTAAAATATACGAACTGGTACTTTAGACTACCTCCTGGAAGGCTTTCCTTGGCCCGCCTGGCCATTTAAACATACGGAGTCCGATTTATCTAAACGGAATCCGATTTATCTAAACATACAAACATTTAAATATACGGATTCAACTGGTGTTTCATACTAGCTCCGGGACCTTGTGGTCTGGCCCGCCCTCCACATATTTCAATGTCGTTACCGTATATTGCATATTACATATAACATGTGTATACATATATTTTACTTGTTAATTGTATGTATCTATGTATATATAATGCATATTACATATATTGTACATATATATATATATTATTTGTTAATTGTATGTATATATGTATATATAATGCATATTACATAAATTGTATATATATATATTATTTGTTACTTGTATGTATATATGTAAATATAATGCATATTACATATATTGTATATATATATGATGTGTTAATTGTATGTATCTATGTATATGTACATATAGTTCATTTGTTTATTGTATGTATATGTATATATATATATTATTTGCTAATTGTATGTATATATGTATATATAATGCATATTACATATATTGTACATATATATATATATACATATTATTTGTTAATTGTATCTATATATATAATGCATATTACATATATTGTACATATATATATATGATGTGTTAATTGTATATATATATATGTATACCAGTATATGTATTGTATATCCACTGGATTAAAAAAAAAAAACGGAGCAAGACCCCTGTGAAATCTTCTATCTTCAATCCAGGGCTCTGGATTGCAATCTTGGATCAGCTTGACAGCTCTCAGACTTGAAAGTCATGTTTATCTATTACCCTCTGGCAAATTAACATAGACCCTGAAAATAGCCTTGTTTTAATGGAAACTAATTTTCCAACCCCTATCTGCCAGGGTCTATGTTAATTTACCAGAGGGTATAATATACATAAATATAAAAATTGTGTGTCATGTGTGTGTGTGCGTGATTTCCCTTGAACAAAAAACCTTCTCACAATGTGACAAGGCACCGAAATAGTATGAAAACACTGCAACTACCAGCAGATTCACACATTAGGGTGGTATTCCAGGAGGAGTACCATATATTTTTATGATGTACAAAAAAATGTGTAAGCGTAAATGGGGGTGGTTTTCGAGGAGTGTAACAACAAAGTACAACTTGAGATGCGTATGGATACTTCAAATATGGGGCCCGGTCGGCCCCATCGTTTTAGGTTGCCATATTTAATAGGTTTGTGATTATGTATGTATTGCTGATTACCATTTGTTTCGAGTTGGAGATACTGGGAATAACCATCTGAGCAGTGTTCAAAACCCTCTGTGGGAGCTACCACTAGTGGGAATACTGCTTGGTTAATACGGATTACAACATATTACAATCAGATCATGATGGGGTTGGAATGGGATAACAACGAGATTTTAATGGGGTTTTAATGGGACTAAATCGGGTGTCGTGGGATTTAATGAGGAAAGTCCTCCAGATAAGAGGTGCTTGGGTAGTGGTGATTCTTAATGATTACAATGTTCAATATATGATAATCCCCTGAATGAACACACAGGAGTCTTGAACACTGTTCATCTTGCTCTTTGAGCTTTGGTTTTCAGACAAAATGAGCACCTGGCTATCAATCTTGGATGCATCTCTACTCAACTCAACATCCTCCTATTAAAACTCCAAGATGGAACCCAAGATGGAACTCCTATATTTAATAGGTATATGTATGTATTTAACAGGTGCATGTATGATTATGTATGTATGTTCATGTCCAAGCTTAATTTCTTCCAGTTGTTGGGACTTTCAAACATCATATATTTACATTGATTCCTGAAACAGTGAAAATCTATTTGGTGATTCCTATCCATGTCCATTTCTACTGACCAATACTACTACAAGGTTGGGCCCGCAAGATAGCTAAATTGGTGAACATAATTATTAAATGACCATAAATAACATAAATAACCATGGTTTATGGTATAGCAAACTAGTTTTTGTCACTAGTTTTTGTGGGCTTTCAAAACCAACAAACATAACATAACATTAATTAACCAAGTAGTTACGAACATTTTCCAAGGTGGGGAGCTCGGGCACCTTCAGCGCAAACTTGGAAGGAATGCCCCTGAGCTCCTCCTGGGAAAAAACTATTGGGTCATCCCATTTTGGGATGGAAAAACTTCGAAAAACTGGTAAACTTAATCTATGGGAGTATACATAAACCAACCATTTTTATGGGGTTTTGTTACTAGGGACATAGTGACGACTAGTGGGATATATAAAAAACTTATCACTATTTTTTGGACAATTCAAAACCTATTCTTGGCCAATCTTAGATAGGCAAGAAATGGAGAATTCTTAGTGAACAGTCTAGATAATCCCATTGATACCAAAAGACTAAAGGTATCAAATACAACCCATCAGTAGGAATAAACATCCGTTCACAAGCTATTTTAGGGTAGGGTGCCAGGGTTTTGACTCATTACCATAATTGTAAAAGTTTGCAACCATACAGTGAAGGCCTCTAGTCACGTCCACTTAATCCACTTTTTTGGGGCAGCATAATTCCTATTCAAGGAAGTGGATGCGACCCCTTCACATCATGGTCACATCAACCATGCCAAATAGCTTGAGGAATGCTGTACTTTGATGGTTCCAAAACAAGACACATTAAGACTTGTGGTGCAAGTCTTATGTTTTTCACCACTGTTAATGTTTGGGGGGAAGGCTTGTGATTGGACTTTGTAGCTACAGACCAGGTGAGCACACCATCCTGGCATGCAGAATGAACCGCAAGACCTCCAGAATGTGGTCCCAGGATTGGACCGGGATGCAGTGGAATGTATTGGGATCTACTAGGATTTCCTGGGGATCTTCTTTGCAATACCAATCGGAATCCCTGTTGCTTTTTTGGGTTGTTTTAAAAGGGCAAACGTGCTAAGACAGGCCCGTCCCTGCTACGGAATTGGGATGTGACACACGGCTTCAACAAACTTCATCTTTTCCTTTCGATTTTTTGAATCAGTTTTCGTCATCTGACGTTTCGGGGATGGTGCCAGATGCAATTTGCCGGCCCCAAAAAATGCATTTAGGGTGGTTCCGGGTGTAATTTGGCTGCTGATTTGTTCTAAATGCATCTAGACCTGTGCGTCGGCACGCCTGGGCGGTACGCACGGCACGCGCGCGCCCAGGCATCTAAGACTTGCAAACATACATACAGAAATACGCGCTTCAGACATCCAAAAAAAGGGACGTGCTCTTGAAGGAGCATTTCTTATTGGCATACCAATGTAGCTTGCTTTTACTTATGTATACTAATCTGGTTGGTGGTTGAGCCAGCCCTCTGAAAAATATGAGTTCGTCAGTTGGGATGATGACATTCCCAACTGAATGGAAAAATAAAATTCATGTTCCAAACCACCAAGCAGTAATAGATCCTATAATAGTAAGGATGAACAAACATGGTGTGCGAAGAACATTGTGAATCAACAATAATTGCTTCGAAATCCACTGCTTTGCAAATCGGGTGACAGCCCACTTCCACACCTGGGGTACATATCCTAACCGCCAATGCAAGGGATATACCATGATATACTACCCATTCTTTTGACACCGAATTCACAGATATCTATCTTAAAGTATCTGATATATATATATATATATATACATACATAGATATATACGCATATATATATAATTATAGATAGTTGTTCTGTTTATTCCGTGTTGATATATGGATGTGTTGGCCATATCCAAACAACATCCCAGGCCATTTTTTCGCAGCCAGGCCATCCCCAGCCCAGCAGGCACCTTCCACATGGGTGTCCTCGAAGGATCCAAGACATTTTTGGGATCTGATGGAGCTACTGGACCCATGGGGGGGCCTCAGAGATTACATGGTACAGTACCTCAAAATATGTGGTTAATATGGGCGCAGGCTTTGTGAAATATTGACCCGTTTACCCAGTGATATTTATCATATTTTCTATGAAAAATCACGATTTTCAATTGGGTAAGCCAGCTATCAATTGCCATTTCTGTGGGAGACAATGTCTACATGTGTATATATATATATATATGCGTAATTTGTATATATATATATATGTATATACATTTATATATATATATATACAATTATATACATATGGAGGTTTCCGTATATGGAGGTACCCCAATAGCTGGATGGTTTATTTCATGGAAAATCCAAAACAAGAATGGATGATGAATGGGGGTACCCCCATTTCAGGAAACCTGCATATGGGTTTAACATGGTTTAACCATCCAAACTTGACGTTTGACAATCAACAACAGTGGTGTACCGCAACTGTTCAAGGGATTTTCTTTGAGGAAACCCTGATTTTTAACGAAAGAACGCAATAAAGCTACACAATAAAGGTCCAGTTTTACAGGAGAACGATAGAGAACGGCTGCTGTGGAGATCATATGCTTGGGGCAATGCACTCACTTGGGGACCATGTTCCAGGGATAGAACATTGAACTCACCCGATAACCCGAGCACCTTTCGCAAAGCGGGCGCAGGCATGGTATCTAAAACTTCCTCGGTTGAGCCTTTTCGGACGTGAAATGCATGGCACAACACGTGGCACCTGTCGGAATGATATGCTCCACGGTGTTCTGCGCATCTTGGCAGTGTTGTAGTCATGATTGTCGAGATGAGTAGGAATCAACATCCACATCTTCAGTGCTTGTTCATGGAAATCATTGAAAATCCAACCAAACTTGCCCGACTGCATGTTTCCCAGCCCACACTACTGTAGCGTAGAAGTTAAGCTTGGGCCAAAGTTTCGGTCCAGTCTGTCTTCCCACAGCAGGCTGCTTTTTAATGCTGGATGGATGGAATGTTTAGAATGTTTAGCAACATCTTCTCAACTGAAATGATGCGGAGGTGTTCTAAAATAGTGGGTACCCCCAGTCATCATCCATTTTTGTTTGGGATTTTCCATGAAAAAAAACATCCAGCTATTGGGGTACTCCATTCACGAGGTCAAATTGTGGCACATGCGGCTGCAAGTGTACTTCTCTCAAATTTACTTCGACCTTTAGAAAATCAACAGATTGGGATCTTCTAGAAGTCATTTCGCACTATTCAGATCATTCTTCCATCTGCGCTTATGTTTGCCGTCTCCCGGGCTAGATTCGACGCCCTTCAAGACCTAGCAGCCCCACCACCCTGGGCCTATGTACAACTCGACACCCCCACCTCACTGCTGACACTGCTGAAAAGGGAAAACTCATGGGTTTGTACCTCCAAATTTAGGGCAACCAGTTCAACCGGGTCAAACGTAGCTGGAAAATACTCGAACTTCGTGAAAGTTCTATTGGGAAAATTAGCAAACTAAATGATGGATTTTGAGATTGTAAAATGTCACTTGATCCAAGGCTTTGAGATATGTAGCCCCGCAGCTTTGTACCACAACATCTCGGCAAGGACTACCAAATAACCCACATTTAAATAGATGAGTGTCCCATCAAACAGATTGTTTTTGATTGAAATATGTTCATAACCACCCTCTGCAAATCATCATCTATGTAGATAGAGAGAGAGAGATATAGATAGATATAGATAGATAGAGATAGAGATAGATAGATAGATAGATAGATAGACAGACAGATAGACAAACAGACAGACAGACAGATAGCTAGCTAGCTAGATAGATAGACAAACAGACAGACAAACAGATAGATAGACAAACAAATAGATAGATGCATAGATGCATAGATGCATTCTGTGTATATGCATATTATATATATATATATGGATAGATGCAATAGAGCAGATATGGCAGCTCAGCAGCTCAGCATCTTCGGCCAAGTTTCTGGTGGAATCGAAAACGGCGACGCTGAGCTCGCTTAACAAGGCCTTGGCGGTGCCGGTGGTGCCAGGTGGCCAAGGATGGCTGAATGGCCAATTTTGAATGGTCTTTTGGCAACGATTTAGCTTGAATAGCTTGAAACAACCCTGATGAATATGACATTAACTAGGCTTTAGGTTGAGATATATCTATAAAAAATGAATGTGAACATTGGGTTCCTACACCAACTTAACCAACTAGAGAGCAGCAAATTTTGCATGTTCTGTACCACAGTAAAATCTCCGAAACAACATCGCCGTTTTTTCTTCATGGCGTCCGTCGAAAAGGTGTCTCTCTGAGCTCGGAACATGACTGCCCAGGACATAGAACAGAAAGTCACTAAAAGCCTGCACGTCCTGGCTCCGTCGGAGCTGGAGCGGAGCGAGACAGGACCCGGAGTTAGCGGCCTGGAAGAGGGAAAAAAAAATGGTACCCCAAAATATGTGGTTAATATGTGGTTAATATGGATTAAAAACATGGTTGATATATTATAATATTATATAATATATGGTTAATGAAGGTTGATAATGGGTGATAATGGGTGATAATGGCTTTCCATAGTCATGACCCCAAGCTCGCGCTGGATGGTCTATTTCATGGAAAATCGCAACCAGAAATGGATAGTAATTGGGGATACCCTCTGGTAAACTAACGTAACTATGGATTTTTTTTATGGGTAAATCAACTATAAATGGTTATGTTCAAGAGCTATGTTTGTTTACCAGAGGGTATCCCTATTTTAGGAAACCCATGGAAACCCCCATATGGTAAGTATCTTCAATAAATCGAGTTTCTGACATGGCCATTGGCAGCTCTCACTTCTGGGTCCGAAGACTGGAATCCTCAATTCTGCTGCTAAAAAAATATCCCGAGTTCTTGAATATCCCCACGATTCTTGGTAGATATCACTATAACATCTATAGTATGATGGATTTATCTTACCAAGAGATATACCATAATCTGCCGCTCAAACTCAGACAGAATTGGATGCTTTGAGATACTAGAATTTGCAATTCTTGAATTAATGGGTGGCCTCATTTTACCTTCATCTACACCGTACTCATATATATATACATACCCCATATGCTCCATGTATGGAATATTTACCAACATTTACCCGAACAAAATCACCCAGTTTTGTAGGTAAATATACCTTTTATGAAGCATATGGGTATATATATATATCAACAAATGTCCATGAAATTGTTGGTTTCATCTCTTCATTTTTGCGTCCAAACCCTTGCCGCACAACAATTCCCATGTTCGATCCAGTGTCCACCAGTTCTGGTGGCGCATTTTTACCCACGGCAAAACATCCACTACCAATGTAGTAAGTCTATCATAGGCCATACTAAAAACCTAGTTATAAACACAATAACAACCATGTAGTTAATGTAGCCATCCACTAAGAATTTGTAGTTAAGCCATACTAAAAACCTAGTTATAAGATGTTTTAATGCAGGAAATGCAATTTTTCTGGGGATGGTTATCCCCATATAGCCTCACCTGGCCATGATGACTTGGGGATGTGCACCCAGCTGGTCCTCTCCGACACGACTGCCACCCCATTCAGGATGTGCTTGAAGAACTGCTGTCTGTGCGTCACGACTGGTGTAGCCATGGATGAGACAATTGTGGCTGCCTTGAGGAAAAACATTGATATATTAACGACTATCTGTTGCATATGCATACAGAAACAAGAGGATTTCCCGTATACTCTTTTCAGCCGGGCCATCAATTGAGTGAAATTTAGTTCCTGAAACGAACAAAAGCAACAAAATGCAAACAGCAAAACCAAAACAGAACTATAAAGTATAGTTTGGGAGGATTCGTGATGTTTCAAAAAGATATTGTTCCGCCGTTGTTATGGTTATAACAAACATGGGTTTAAAATTCCATGGTATTCCGTTGGTTATCATATTATAATATATCCAATGGTTTATAAGATGCCAAAATATTCCGATAAACAAAGATATAACATGATATTAACAATAGTATACCCAATGGACATGATAATTTAAACAATGGATATTCGATACACACTTGCCTCAATGGCGCGCTTGAAGTGAAGCGCCGTGTCTTTGAGGCTGTCCGAATCCGTGCCCAAATATGACCTCCGTTACCGGGGCCCCCGTTTGAAGCAAGAAAAATGATGATTTAAACGGATATCCATAGGATCCATGTATGCTATATATATATATATGCTATATATATATATGCTATATATATATGCTATATATGGTGTGCCATGGATCCCATCCATATACCCTAGTCATGTTAGCATTAATATACCAGCACCATGGATCCGTCATGGGATATGGGGGATGATGGGGATGTGATGATTGTGATGGGAATTCTATGGTGATCTGATGGGAATGAATGGGTGATACAGTGATACAATTTGGCTGACTTATTCTGACTTGTATCAATTTACAACCTGAAAATAGCTGCAGCTGAATTAAAGCCATTTAAGATCATTTAAGGGGATATTTGGGACCATCATTCTCCGTACAAACCATCATTCGACCATGACGTCGCAGTGAAGTCATTATAATCTGGTTGGTGGTTTGGACCTACCCCTCTGAAAAATCATGGACTTCATCAGTGATGATGACATTCCCGAATGGAAAGTCATTCAAAAGTCCATGGTTCCAGTCACCACCAACCAGTGACTACTAAGCATCATTAACCATCATCAACCATCATTAACCATCATTATCCCATACTAAACCAATGTTCCAGTCACCACCAACCAGTAATTCATCCAGAAAATTCAACCGTCGACCATGGCGGTGACATCAACATGGCGGTGACAGGGACGAACATTCAGCGCATCAAAGTCGTGAAATTTACGACGAAAAACAGATTTTTTTAACCCACCATAAAGGCTACTGATAATCCACCATAAAGGCTACGGGTAATCCATGAGTCGGGATTTTCTGAGTATGATATACCCTCTGGTTATGTCAAAATAGCTCTTGAACATGGCCATTTATAGTTGATTTTCCCCTAAAAAAATGGTGATTTACCATAGTCTTGTTAGTTTACCAGAGGGTGTGATGAAATGACATTTGGCGATGAAACCAGTCTTTGGATGTATCCAGTTTGAAACCCTGCTGAAACAAAAGCGTGGGAGAGAGGGATATGGAAATATGCATGTAGCCATGGGTATACTGGTTGGTGGTTTGGAACATTTTTTATATGTCCCTATACTGGGAATAATAATCCCAACTGACTAATATTTTGAAAATCATCGGACATCCAATCTCGGTGGAAGTGGTGTGGGCCTGCAAACAAACATGATTTTGTCCGTAGCTTCATGGAACATGACGGCGAATCCTTTTGAGACGTTTAGATCATCTGCATGCCAAAATTCTCAGTTTCAGTGCCCAGAAGATCCTCCAGGGGTCTTCCCATGTCTTCCCTGCCTTGCTAAGGCCAGGTAGAAGCATTGATTGTAGATGTCCTGGTTCAGGTGACTGAGGTCATCAACATGGACGAAGTGAGAACAGAAATGTTTTGCGCAACGGTACAACAGAAATGTACATAATGAAAAAATAATGAAAATACAATACATGGCGAAACAGAACTTCAGCAACAAACTGGGACATTTATCTCCATTCTGCAATCAGAAACAAACTATTCTCAGATAGTCCCTACTATCATTGATAAGAATTCACCCACACGATCCCCACTGGGTTTGTCTGGAAAATGGG